CGTAGACACCCAGACTCTCTCACAATCACTCAGCTGCGCACACACACACACACACACACACACACACACACACACACACACACTTGCCCACTCTACTGTACACACTCATCCAGCATCACAGATTCTCTCATATTCCAGCACATTTAGACTCATACTCTTACATAATAACACAACATACACACACACACACACACACACACACACACACACACACCGCATTACACAGATTCTCACATACTCCCGCACATTAGGCCCAGGTTTTTACATGCTAACACACACACTCATACTCACACTCACACTCACACACATAAGTACACATACATACACACACTCCCCTTGTATTATGAGGTCTGGCTACAAAGTGGAGGCAGTGGGACATATAGCAAGCACTGAACTGGACTTGGAATCAGGGGATGGGGTTCTAATCTCAGCTCTGCCACTTACTACCTATGTGACTCAACCTCAGTTTCCTCCTATGTAAAATGGGGGTAAAAATACTTTTGCTTACTTACCTCAAAAAGTTGGTGTGAGGAAAGCATTTTGTAATGCCTAAAGTACCATAGAAATGGAAATTTATTTTTAGTAAGTATTTTGACTTAGTGCTTGCTAGCAAATGAGTTTTCTTCTCCTTCAGAAGTAGTCCCCCTTGGGAGATCGCAAACTTACTTCATTCAGATTTATAATCATTGCTCAAAATCCCTTTGACCTCTTCTGACATTGCTATCTCCTGTGTGAATACCTCCCTTGATCCTCCCTTTCTCCTCCACTCACCTATATTTTAAAATTCTCTTCCATATTCACATATTAATACGTTAGTAAGCTAACATATATGTATGTCTATGTACTCATTCTCACATATGTTCTCATTCACACTCCCAGTTAGCTCATCTGCTCCTTAGCTCTTTCCATAGCAAGTCAAGCAAAGATGTCCCCCATCCTATCCTTCCTCCCTCTACCAAACCAAATACCCTTTTCCCCCTTTCCATTCCTCCCAATGCAGAGCTGCCTCCTGTCCTGGTTTTCTCAGCTCTGCTTCTCCTTCCAGCTTCAACCCACCCCCCTGTCATTCTGGACCTTTCCCTTCCCCCCTCCTCTCACCATAAATTCCTCCTTACTCTCCTCTAGAATCCTACTTTGCCAAAGGACCCAGTCCAACCAGATGCCCAAGGGGAGAGAGTAGACTGAGCCAGGTAACCAGACTCAGGACGGTGAGAATGCCCATGCTGTAGTCCCAGATCCTGGAGACTCTGTCGGGGGCGGGGGTGAAGGGATCCCTCTGAGTAAGGAAAGAAGGATACCGAAGTCCAGAGCAGAGAATATAATCTCCAAAGTGGAGACTGGGAGCCAGGAATTCCATACTTAGACTGCAGGACTCCATGCCCATGGTGACCCTTCTCATCAAGTGCCATAGAAGTCCATGTGAGCGGCAACACAGAATCCATTGGATTTGCTTTGGGTTTGAGCTGGCAAATGTATGGGATGATGGTGCTGACCCCTAACAATGTCCATTGAGCAAACAGGAGAGGACGTAGCCCTAGCCTTTAAGGGGGCAGTTAAGAAAAGTCAGTTTTCCTTGGGGTCATTATTACTACTATAACCCTGGGAGATAAGTAATACAAATATTATTATTTCCATTTTACAGGTAGGGAAGCTGAGACTCCTGGAAGTTTAAGTCTTACCGATGGTCATATAGTTAGCTGCAAGTAACAAAATGAGGATTTAACCTAGGCCACCTAACCAGCTCTCTTTTTGTTATTCCATACTGTCACTAAAGGATGTAGGCATTGCAGGGTTACAAGTGGGATCACACTGGTTCTGGTCTCAACACCTGGGCCTAATGTTTTTTGAGAAGAAGTATAGTACGGTGGAAAGAACTCTGGTGTTGAGAGTTGGATAACATGGGTCTGTGGCCTACCTCTTCCTCTCACTAGCTGTGTGACCTTGGGCAAGTCACTTTCCCAATTTGGGCCTCAGTTTGCTCATCTGTAAAAGGAGGTGTATAAACCAGATGAACTTCTTTTCCAGGTCCTATGGTTCTCATGGGGTTATTTTTAACAGTGGGAGAGATTCTGAGGCTGGAGATCGCCACTATCTTTATTCTTCACTATCCCCTCAAAGTAGAGAAACAGAGGTCTAGAGAGAATGAAGGACAGAAGAGAATCCTAGTGCCCTGTTGTTCCCAGTGAAAGGCCCAGAAGCAGAAGACATTTTAACCTAAGCTGGTCATTTAGTGTCTTCCTCTAGACAAGGTGATTTCTTCAATCACCCTAGTGACTGTAATACAAAAGCGATAGCACCTGCAATGTGCTAAGCATTATTCTTGTTTCCCAAATATTATTTCATATTATGCTCTCAACAACTCTGTGAGGTTGGTGCTAGTATTATTCCCCTCTAACAGCCGAGGAAACTGAGGCAGACGGAGGTGAAATGACTTGCCCAGAGTCACACAGGTCCCACCACACAGCACGCTATGCCACCATCTGCCTCTAGTTCTTCTCATTTCCTTGTTGCAGGGTCTCCTCTAACAAGATGTCCTTCCTGGTGTACAATATCTGTCCCTTCATTTTCACCCTCTCCTCATGCACCCATAGATAGCTCTTTAGAGAGCTAAAACTAAGATTCCATCATCCCTCTGCACCTCCAACCTTCTTTCTTTTCTTTTCTCTTCTCCAGGCTATATTACCGGGAAATCATTTGCCAGGGAAAGGGAGGGCACCAAGTAGGGGTGGTGCAGAGGACTTATGGGTTCTGCTCTACCTCCAGCAGGCATGTCTGTTCGGAAGTGGGCTGTGCCCCCACCGGATCCCTGTAATGGAAAATCCCAGCGGCATAGCAGGAAGGGGGGGCAGTTATTTGGGGAATTCAGTCAGGGGCCTTGAACACAGAGATCGGATTTGCCAGAGAGAACAGGCGATAATCTCTCTGTGGGGAGCTCCCCTCTGGAGTCAGAGACAGACTGACTCAGCCTTGGAGGGGCCCATGCTCCCTAGGACCTCAGCCCCTAATGACATACTCCTCCTTGCTTTCTTTCTCACTGTTCCCTCTCCCTCTGCCCAGAATGCAATCATTTTCTTTGTAGGTATCTCAGTCTCTCACTCTATCTGGAAAACCAGGGATATATTACTATAAAGTCTTGCCCTATCACAGCCCCTCTCCCCCTCCCTACTTTCACCCAACTCCCACTCCAGAAGAAGGAAAAGTCTGTCAGGGCACAGTAGGTATTCTTTTACCTTCTTTCTCTTCCCCTCTCAGCTCTTTTCTTCATCCGTCTCTCTGTCCCCCTTAAAGCAAAAATGATGTTACCAGACTCTAGGAGCCAGTGGTCTTTAATCTATCCTGTCTCTAGAGTTCACACCATCAGCCTTGATCGAGTTAAAGGCATGCCTACCAGAGATTACTCACTCTCCGTCAGTAAAGACAGCTGGGCTCAAAGACTGGGTTCAGATGACTGTAAGCAAGTCATCTCACTTCAGCATTGTAAAACTGCATCGGACGAAAAGACCTCTAAGGACCCCTCCAGTTCTAAATCCTCTGACCTGTTGCAGAATCTTATGTTACTCCCTAGTAGGAAAGTCTTAATGTCTAACCTCAGTCATTCAAGCTGTAGCATTTTAGCTTTTTCTCTGACGGGATCCTCACTGGAAATAACATAATAGTGATAGTCAACATTTTTATAACACATTAAGGTCTGCAAAGCATCTTACAAATATCTCCTTTTATCCTCATAAAAACCATAGGAAGTAGGTGCCATTATTATTCCCATTTTACAGATGAGGAAATGGAGGTAGATAGTGGTAAAGTGACTTGTCCAGAGTCACACAACTAGGAAGTGTTTGAGGCCACATTTGAATTCAAGGCTTCCTGACTCTAGGTCTAGTACTCTATCAATTGTACCATTGGACTGCCTCACTTACCCTTGTGCCATTTTGTAGATTCAAAAGCTGTTATCAAGTTGATTTTCTGACCCCCTTCCTATTCTCCATTTCTCCTTACTCTTTAGTGCCTCCTTCCCATCCCCCTTCCTAACTCCCCTCTCCAAGCATTCTCTCTCCTCTTGATTTTATCCCAAATGCCAAAACAGGGACTGAGCATTAAACTCTTGGTTTCTAAGAGAAAGGAACAGGAAAAGAGGTCTACCTCATATGCCACCCAACTGAAATGAATCCAGGGGCACCCAGGTATACTTTGTGGCCTTGGTCTGCCCTTTCCACATCATCCCTCCATCTTGAGTCCTGCCTGCTCCCCTGGGAAGATTAGATGCAGGATTTAGAGGTCCTTGTCACTGTTTCTGTAGCATAGTATTTAGCTTAGGGACCTGGTGAGGAAGGCAGATGTGTCTACTTTTCAGCCCTTGAGAGAGGGCTGGCGAAGCCCTTGCTCCCCAATCTCTAGGCCTGGGGCAACTTCTCGAGAGGCTGCTCCAGTTTCCATATCTGGTCTTTCCTTCAATGTGCAAAGGCATCTCATGATCTAATGAACAGAGTGCTAGATCCGAATTCTGATCCTGACCATACCACTAACCTGCTGTGTGAACTTGGGCAAGTCACTTAGGCAGTTTCTTCTTTTGTAAAATGACTAGCTTCAGGCTAGACAGTCTCTTCTAGCTCTAAAATTATTTAGTTGTATAGACTCCTATACAGGTGAGGGCTCTGGGTCCCCAATTCCTCTCTCCCTCTACACCCCACTCCTCCACCTTTCTCTTCCCTTTTCATGGGGCTTGAGGGTTGAGGATCTAAATGAACAGACCTCCCCCTCCAGTCCTTTCTGTTCTAGGAGAACTATTTTGAAGAAGTTCCACCTTCTCCTCATCTCCAACCCCCCCCTCCCAAGATCCCCCCACTCTCTTGCTTCTCTCTGTTGGTAGCTGCCAAAGGCAAGTCGGGGAGACAGAGAGAAATTGGGGAGGGAGGGCAACCATCAGGACAAAGGCACTAAGGGGCTGGGGGGAGGAGCCCTCAGGGATCCTATTTCAACAAGCGGCTCTTTCCCGAGCAGGAGGGGGGCGAGAGGGGGAGAGAGACCTATTTAAAGCTACCCTGTTACTTCGGCTGTCTCTGTGCTTCTGACTCGATCTCCGCCTGTCCGAGTTGACGATCCTTCCCATTGGCCTCTCCGTTCTCAGTCCCAGCACTCCTTTGCCCCAAGATGGGCCGCGGGGTGAGTACCCCTGAAAGCTGAGCCCACCCTCTCTGCTACCATGTCTCTTACCAAGCATGGAGCTCTGAGGAGGGAAGGCTGGTAAAACGGGGACCAAGGATGGGGGTGGAGAAGAGAGAGTTGGATGTGGTAAAGAAGACTCAGGGAGGCAGTTCAGAGGTGGGCACACACACACACACACACACACACACACACACACACACACACACTGTCTCTCTCTCTCTCTCTCTCTCTCTCTCTCTCTCTCACTCTCTCTCACAGATACTCACACAGACACACACACACTCACACATGAACTCATCCCCTTCACACAACTCCATTCATGTTACAGTCCTAGACCTCATCTCCCACGCTCCAGTCCACCCCGAATTAATCCTCTTCTTAACACTCCTGTATCCCCATTCACTTGCTGTTCTTCTTTCTCCCACCCTAAGTAGCCAACTGAAAGGTCATCTGGTCCGGTTTGTTCCCAGGACCCAAAAGACAGCCCCCTGGGACTGCCAGTCAGAGAGGGTAGAGAACACTTTGGCTTCTTGAGGGCTGGGAGGGGCGGAAGCTATAGGGATTCAGCATCTCATTCCCTGGGTAGCCAAGCAGCTCTGGACACCCCGTTCCCTGGGCACTGAGTGCCAGGGACAGCTGGGAGACGTGGGGGGGAGGAGTGAAGGCCCCCCCCGCCATGTCCTGGGCAGCATTGTCCTTGGGCTTAGGGCTATGCTCAGCAAGGATTTTTCCAGTGGTTAGTGAGAGGAATCTGCCCCCTTGTCTCTGCCCATGGCATTCTCAGGCAAAAAGAATGCCTGCTGAGCAAATTAAAGACCTCCTCTGGGCACTATCTTTTGGACCCCCAAGGGAAACATGGTCCAAGTTTGGTATAGTTAGAAGTATAATTTCCATCTGTGGAGAACTGACTCTACCCCCTTATACATCACAGCACTGCCAACCCCTTTCCTCTGGGAAAGGGCATAGTAAAGGATGGGAGGCTTCTAGAGAAAACCCAGAGTCAGTGAAAGGGTCTCTCTCTGCTGAGACTTCCCAGAGGACAAGGGGACCATGAAGGGTCACACCAGGACACATCTGAGTTCAACAGCTGAGAAAGCTGTGGGGTGGGGACACCAGGGTTCCTGGGCTTGGATGAGGGCTATAAATAGATAGTGAGGGAATCACAATGTGTGTGTGTGGCCCTGTGTTTCTATGTCCATGAAAGCATCTGTGTGTGTATATGTGTATATGTGCTTGTACATGTGGGAGGATGCGCATTTGTATCTGAGTCTTTGTGAAAGTATGTCAGTGGAACTCCGCTTGTGACAAGGCCCAAGTGTAGCTGCTATCCTGCCTTGGTGTGTGAATGAGTGTGTGTGTGTGTGTGTGTGTGTGTGTGTGTGCTTGCATGCACATTAGTGTCTCAGATACAGAGATGTCTTTGGGACATTAGATGTCTTTGGAAGCTTATGTAGTCCTGAGTCCTCAGCTGAGCTTTGGATTCTATAATAACAGGAGGAATAAATCTTCTGGAGGAATGAGTTCCAGGGAGATTGCCAGGAGTATTTGGTGTAAAGAGTGGATGGGAGATAGTTCAAGGATGGGGAGAGGGTAGGCAATAGGCCTCACAGGCTGGGGAGACAAACTCTCCAAATGATTTTCATATTAGGACGCTCGAGTTTCCTTCCAGTCCAAGAGGTACTGCTAGGAAGACTGGGGACCCAGGAATACCAAGTTACAGGAAAATGGGTTTTATGGAAGCTGTACAATTAATTCTACAGCCCAGCAACTAGCCCCAGCTTTATTCCCTCACCTCCCCAGTGTCTCTGGATGACCCTAAAACTCCCCCTTTAGTGGTTTAAGTTATGATAATAGCCAGGTGGGGAAGGAAAACAGGCTCTGTTTGAGCTGAAAGAGGCAGAGTGAGATGAAGGTGGCTGCCGCTTGGATTCTAGCCCATCTGGAAGGACCACCCTATTCTCTGCAGTAGAACAGACTCCCCCAACTCTGGTTTCTAGGGTGCTGTTCCCCAGTCCAGAATTGTCAACTTCCCATCAGTCCTATAAGGGGAGGGTCCTACTGGTCCCCAGCCCAGAGCTGGTCTCATCTCATCACCCCACAGCCATGAGGGATGGCCCTGGAGGTGGGGGAGGGATAACAGTGTTGGGAGGGGGATGCCGGCCTTCTCCAGCTGCAGTGGGGAGGTAGGGTGGGGGAGCAAATTGGGCTGATTTCCAGCCGCCCCCGCTCTGTCCAAGCCTCTGGCTTTCTCAGAAAGAACTCTCTGTTCTCCTTCCGCATTCAGGACCCTGAGAAGGGGAGAGTGGGTAAAGGGGAGGGGGGGGTTAAGAGGCAAAGGGTCCTTCCTTCCTCTCTCCCTTTCTTCCCTAGGCTGCCGCTGGCCCTGGCTCTCTGCGGGCTCCTGGCTCCAGAGCCTGAGATGCCTGCCAGGACAGGAGGAGGGGGGAGAGGGGGCAGTCTGTCCCAAGCTCAAGGCCTGCTGGGGAATGGAGTGGGATGGTGGGGGAGAGAGGAGGAGCTGCTAAGAGCAGACTGCATCCTATGGCCAAAAGTTTCTAGACTGGTGATTTTTTTAAAAAAATATACACTTGAAACTAATTATTTCTTTCATGTCAAAATAGGTATTAAATGTCCCTAACCTCAGTCTTTGTCTCTCCACCCCAAGTACTATCACCTTTCCCTAAAGAGTTTGTCCAGCCTAGAGAAATTTCTACTACCTTAATCAATCCTTAATCAACGCCCTCTTGCCTCCCCAGCCAGCCACCTGCCTCCCACAAAGTATAAGGTCAGAGAGTTCAAAGAACTAAGGTTCTCATTTATAAAATCAGTCCAGTTTGATAAGTTGTTCACAGATCTTCCTAGGAAATATGGGGAAGGTAAAGGTAGGACTAAGGGAGAACCAGTCACAAACCCCTCCACAGAGTGCTGAGGGAGGAAACTGAGGCATGAAGGTGGAAAGAATCTGGGTAGCTTCTTAATGAGGTTGGATCAGTCCCCTAGAATGGAGCCAAGAAGTCCTGACTTCCAAGCAAGCCTTCTCAGCCCAGCTTTCTCACCACGAGGTCACTGTGTCCCTGAGTGAGGGTGGGGAGAACAGAACGGGGGAGGTTGAAGTGAAAAAGATCCCTTTCCGGTGAGTTCTTGTGCCCACACCGGAGCTGAGTCATCCCATATACTCTCGCTATTCCAGAAATATGCCAAAGTGGACTTTTGGGCCGAGGCCGCCTGGGAGGGAAATGTTTCTGACCTTGGGACACAATCTTTTCAACTTGGACCCCAGGAGCCCCGTGGATCCTTCTGTGACCAAAGCCTGTTATTCTAAAGACCAGTCTACTTCCTGGTGCCTTCGTTCAGTACCGGGCACAGAGTGCTTAATACACACTTGCCGGTTTGACTGTCATTTGACTAATGGCTTCCCACAGGCTGGATCCTGAATCTGGAAATTCTTATGTTTGGGGAATATCAGGGCTCATTTCTCACACTGCTCTTGTCTATGAGTAGAAATGTGACTGACTGAACCAAAATGAGGGCACAGGACTTAAGAGACTCATGGGTGTTACCATATCCCAGGAAAGGGAGGTGAAAATGGTAGCCAAGGGAAGGCTTTCAGAGGAAACAGGGCTCCCAGAAGAAATACCCTTCTCTGTTCCCATTCCCCAGATTCCACTCCTCCATTCCTCAGACCTCTCACCCCTCTCATATCACTGGACTGCTCTCTCAGACTTGTCAATCATAAACTCTGATCCTCTTTCCCTGTAACCCCACAGACAGAACTTCCCACTCTACTCACCCTTGCTTCTCCCAAAGCCTGTCTCTTCTCCAGCACTCTCACTTCCCTTGTTTCTCTCTCAGATGCCCCCAGATAGATCCGGTCAAAGGACAGAGAAACCCCAGGGCCAAATACAATCCTCTTTCTTGCCACCTTCTACTCTTCTCCTAAACGGCAAAGGATTTCCTCCAGGCTCGGTTTCAAGACTAAAAGATTACAAGTGCTTTGAGGACAGGGACTTGGCCATCTTTATCTTTGTAGCTATCCCTTGTTCCTTGCTCGTAGTAAATACTTAATAAACCTTTATTGAATTGGATTGAATTCATAGGATTGTAGAGCTAGAATGAACCTTAGATATCACCTAGTACAAATGACCCCTTTATTTTAACAGGTGAGGAAAACCCACAGGGGTAAAATGACTTTCCCAAGGTCACATATGTAATACATAGCAAAATCTGGGATCAAACCCAGCTCCTCTTGACTCCAAATCCTGTACTCATTCCACTGTACTCTACCTCCTTCTGAACCTCATAGAAGGGCAGTTAGGTGGCAAAGTGGATAGAGCACTGACCCTGGAGTCAGGAGGACCTGAGTTCAAATTCTGACCGCAGATACTTCGTAAGTATATGTAAAGAGCAAGTCAATTAACCTGGACTGCCTCCAAAAAACAGATTCTCGTAGAAAATCCCATTTTTGGATCAGCATCTTTATCCTTAAAGGAAGCAGTCCCTCTCTCCTTCCCTCCTGATTCCCTGGAATCATTTCACTCCTATCCTAGGCTGGCCGAGAGTACTCACCTGCTGCCACCACCACAGAAAATGGGGGTGGCAAGAAGAAGCAAAAAGAAAAGGAACTGGATGAATTGAAGAAGGAAGTGGCCATGGTGAGGACAACTGCCTGCCCTGGGATCTGGCCTGTTTTTTCCATCCTTTGAGATGGTTCCTTCCTAAAGGGGGGAGAGCTGTGTCATTCTGAGGGATGGCTACTAGAAAAGTCCTGGGTTCCTTTCATGCCCACAGGTCCCTCACTTCCCTGAATTCTTTTCTTCCATCATAGTAATTGCCTGCTTTCTCCTTAGGATGATCACAAGCTGTCCCTGGATGAGTTGGGCCGAAAGTATCAGGTAGACCTATCCAAGGTGAGTTGGGGGATTTCCTTGGGGGTAGGAAGAGGAGCCCCTGCCTTTGCTCCTGGTCTCCCTCACTCACTTAGCATAAGATGGTCTCTATCCTCTCAGGGTTACAGTCTAGGAAGGGTTCACAGAGTGTTAGAACTAGAAATGGAAAAGGCCAAAGAGATTGATCGACTTGCCCAGAACAATTGTCTCTGGTCTCTTGATTTCAGTGCCCTTCCCACCTTGCTGTCATTCCATGTATGAGATGATAGTAGAACAAGGAGGTATTGGGGAGAATTTCAGAGGCAGATTTAGTCTTGAAGTAAGGGCAGGGGAATACCCTAATGATTAAAGCTAGTCAAAAGTAGATAGGGAAAAAAAATTAAAAAAAAAAAAGAATTGTTAAAAAAAAAAAGTAGATCGGGCTTTCCTAGGGAATAATGGATTCCCCCTCATAGGAAGTCTTCTGGCAGAGGCTCAGTGATGTTCCATTGGGCATGCTATAAAGGGGATTTCTGTTTAAGTCCAGATTGGACTATGTAATTCCTGGAATCTCCTCTAGCACCCAGATTCTGTAGTTCTGTCAAATGACAAACTGTGCAGTCCTGACTCTGTGTACAACAGATTTCTCCTAAACTTCCCTGGTGAGTGGAAAAGAAGAGCCAAAGGGAGAAGTCTCTTGAGCTGCCTTCCCTGGGAGCCCTATCCTGCAGGTCTTTGGTCCCATCTATGGCTGTCCCAGATCTGGCCCTGACTCTGCAGAGGGCTTGGAGATCTTTACTTCTGAGAGCATTAAACTAGGGAATAGAGGTGGGAAGAAAAGAAGGGATTGGGCCTAACAGGGAAATCCAGAGATGGGGGGGCAGAGAGGAAAGGGAGAAGGGAGGATGAAGAAAGGAGAAAGGGTAAGAGTCAAGAGGAGAAGTGATAGGAAGTGGTAAGGTATATCTCTTGGCATCTCTAGTGACTGGTTCAATACCAAGACAGCCTACTCCACTCTTCAATACAGAATCATATAGAATAATTAAACAGGAAAGTACCTTAGAGATCACTTAGTACTTTTATCATTCTTTTATCACCTGTCCACAGGGCCTCACCAACCAGCGGGCACAGGATATCTTGGCCCGGGATGGGCCTAACGCTCTGACTCCGCCACCCACCACCCCCGAATGGGTCAAATTCTGTCGGCAGCTCTTTGGGGGCTTTTCCATCCTGCTCTGGATTGGGGCCCTGCTCTGTTTCCTGGCTTATGGCATCCAGGCAGCCATGGAAGACGAGCCCTCCAATGACAACGTGCGTGGTTGACCCTGCCTTTTAGCCCTTCTTCTCCTGGAACCCCTAAATCCCCAAACTCCGGCACTCAACCCCATAGCAGAGTTCTTCATTTACAGAGTCTGGGACCTAGCCGGGCAGTGACTTAGAGATGAAGCTGGCTCCTGAGCTGATGCTAAAAAAAACCTTCAAAACAAGCCTCATATTCTTGTGGTCAGCAGCTTATAAACCCTACCACCACTGCCAAGGCAAAGTGATAGGAATAATAATAATGGTATTAATAATAATAACAACAACAACAAATATGACATTATAGCATAGTAGGTAAGGCACAGGACTTGGAATCAGGAAGAGACCTGGTTTCAAATGCTACCACAAATGTTTACTCATCTGTGTGACCTTACGTGTCATTTAACCTTTCAGCTTCATTTCATCTGTAAAATGAATATAAAAATAGGTGATTGTGAAGATTAAATGATGAATGTAAAGCCTTTAGGAAAACTATAAAGTGATATAGAAATGGAAGCTTTTAGTAATAACACCTCACATTTCTACAGCACTTGAAAGTTTGCTAAGCACTTTTCTTGCAATATCCCTGTTCAGTAGGTAGAGGAAATATTATTTCCATGGAAACTGAGGCACTGAAAGGTTAAGTGATGTGCCCAGGATCACACAGCTGGGAAGTAGAAGAGGGGGTCTGACCATCCATTATGCCCTGTTGCTTCTAGGATTTCCCCTTCCTTATATTCATTTGTTGCTGATTCACTCCTTAGCCACAACTTTGCTCTCATTCCCTTTATGTCTCCCCAGCCCTATCAACTCTCCAGGCTTAGGGTCAGGAAGGGGAATTCCCTCTATCCACACTCCCACCTTCTGAGGTAACCCACTCAGTGAGAACCAAGCAAGGGTATGCTGGTAAATATTTATTTAATGACAGGCTCTCCAGTGGGGAAAAATTGTACTCAGGACACATTTTTAAGTTGAATCTGCATTAACATTTTTCTATCACTTTAAGTCTAGACAATCAACTAAATAATAAATCAAGACCTGATTTGTAGCATTTTCTGTTTTCCAAGATGTAGTTACTCATACTGAAAATTTAACAATCTCTCACAAACCCAAGCTGCCTCCAACACACCCCCAGAACCAGAAACCTTATGCTTTGCATAAGATGATTATATTCTGCAAGGCTATCTGCTCCTACCCTAAAGCAGCTGCTTTTCCTGGGATCAGGTAGAAATTAACACTTTTTTCCTGCTCTAGTTATACCTGGGTGTGGTGCTGGCAGCCGTGGTCATTGTCACTGGCTGTTTCTCCTACTACCAGGAGGCCAAGAGCTCCAAGATCATGGATTCCTTCAAGAACATGGTGCCACAGGTAGATAGATGACAAGGTTGAATTTAGGATTGGAGAAATGAGTTTCTGAGGGATATGATCCCTTCCCTGTTTGCCCTGCTCTCCCATATGGTAACTTAGTGAGTGGAAGCCTCATTATTTCTTTAAGTCATGATAAAGTTCTGAAGATGGATGGGGAGTAGGTGGGGTAAGGGTGTGGAAAGGCAGGAATGGGGAGGAAGGGAATAAAGGAACAAATGGAGGTCTGGATGGCACAGATGCCCTCACTCTCTTCCCATAGCAAGCCCTAGTGGTTCGAGAGGGTGAAAGAATTCAGATCAATGCAGAGGAGGTGGTGGTAGGAGACCTGGTGGAGGTGAAGGGTGGAGATCGTGTCCCTGCTGACCTCCGGATCATCTCTTCCCACGGTTGCAAGGTGAGTAGGTGGGGACCAGGTTGACTGGGAATGGCCGTGTTGATGTAGAGTTGAGTGGATCACAGATGATGGAGATAAGTCAGAGTTAACCAACTGTCATCCTATCCCATCCTATCAGCGGAGTGTCTTATTCTCCTGTTGTTTATTCTATCTCTACAGCTGTGATGACTAAATATTAATGATATCACCTCATAGGTTCAAATCCTGTTTAAGGGTTACTACCTACTCCACTGAGATCTTGTGAAAAAAGCACTTTGTCAACTTTAAGATACACTATTAAAGTGAGCTGTTAGTACATTTTAAATTATTGTAGTGAAATAAACATGGCCTTGTGGCTATAGAGAGATATGGGCTGGACAACAGTAATATTGGTGGATATAGTCAGACCCAAAGATCATATCATAGATTTGGAGCTGGAAGAGATCTCTGAGACTGCTTATCCAATATTCTAACCCAGGTCTCTCAATTCCAAGGCCTGGAATTTAACAACAGAATTCCAGAATTGGAAAAGACCTCAGACACTATCTAGTCCCACCTACGCCTGAGAAATAATACTGTCTATAACATAACTAACAAACAGGAATCCAACTTTGCTTAAAGACCTCTTAATGAAGAGGAAAATACTGCCTTCTGGGGGATCCATTCCACTTTAGGCTAGCTAGCCCATTCCACTTTGAGAGAGCTTGCATTGTTAGGAAGTATTCCTTACATCAAGTCTAAATTTGTCTCTTCAATTTTCATCTCTACCACTTAGTTTTGCCCTTGGGAACCAAGAAGAATAAGTCTAATCCCTCTTCCATATGACTGTCCTTAAAATCCTTGAAGACAAATATAATACTCTTCCTAAATCTTCTCTTTTATAAGATTCTCAAGATAATCTTTCTATGCAATTAATCATGAGACCCCTTTAACCTCTCCAGTTTATCAGTGTCCTGAATCATGGTATGAGAACTGAACACAACCTTCCAGATGTAGTCTGACCAAGATCAGATGGTGGCCCTGCCATCTCTCATCAGGCCTCTTAATTCAGCCAATGATCTCATTCAGTTCCTTGATTTTTATATCACAGTGCTGACTCATATGAAGCTTGCAATCCATTAAGCATGCTGATCGTTTTCAGAATGTTTTTTACCCCATCTCATACTTACAAAATTGATTTTTTTAACCCAAATGTTAAGATTTTACATTTCATCTGATTAAACTTCCTCTTCTTGGGACCCTTTTGGGATCCTGACTCTTCAACTTTTGTATTCGCTTATGCTTCCTAGCTTTGTTTCAATAATGCAAACCAAAGACAGGGGAACAAGCACAGTTTCCTGGGGAACTCTACCACTGCTACTCTCAGGGAGACAGAGTGGAAAAATGGAATGCAAGCACAGGCTTTCTGATTACAGACCTGGTGTTCTTTTTGCTGAATAAGGCTGTTTCTAAGATGTCTTTGGCTATGTGTATCTGTGACTTAGGAGATTTGGGCTTTTATCTGTGTAAATAAGGGCAGCTAGGTGGCCCAATAAATAGAGTGCCAGGCTTGGAGTCAGAAAGACTCATCTTCCTGAGTTCTAATGGCCTCAGACAGTTACAACTGTGTGACCTTGGGCAAGTTACTGAATCTTGTTTGCCTCAGTTTCCTCCTCAGTAAAATGAACTAGAGAAGGAAACAGCAAACCACTCCAGTATCTTTGCCAAGAAAATCCCCAATGGGTTCAAAAGAGTCAGACACGACTGAAACAAGTGAACAACAATAACTGTGTAAATGCATGTCTATCTGATGAGTCTTCTCATTGTCTCTTTATCCTCAGGTGGACAATTCATCCCTGACAGGCGAGTCAGAACCACAGACCCGTTCCCCTGAGTTTACTCATGAGAATCCCTTGGAGACTCGAAATATCTGTTTCTTCTCTACCAACTGTGTGGAAGGTGAGAAGCATAGCCAGAATGGGTGCCCTAGAAGCTTCACAAAGAAATATCTGACAGGAGAGAGTGAATAGTACTTCCAGATGAGCCCCATCCCAATATCAATGAGGTTGTCCTTACCCCCTAATAAACGAGTAAAGAAAGCCTCACAGAGAGTGATCTGGGCTCAGCTATGACACTGCCCTCTTCCTCATCTGGGATAGTTCTTTACAAGTGGTAGAACTGTGAAGTGAGAAACAGAGAAGAATGGACCTCCATAGCTTTGGGGAACCAGCAGAGGGAACAGCAGCATAGGACAGTGGGGGTGACTGCTGGTCTTTGAGTCAGGCAATCTGACTATGGACCCTGGCTTTAGCACTTAACAACTGTGTGATTGTGAACAAGTCACCTAGGTTCTCTGAGCATTATCAGCTTAAAGGTTTAGAGCTGGAGAGGATGTGAGTTCATCTGTTCCTACCCCTAGGTGAGGGAACTGAGGCCCAGAGAAGTGAGATTATTTGCCTAAGTCATTCAGGTAGTAAGCCACAGAACAAGGATTCTAGCCCAGGTACTCAGAACTCTGGTGCTCTTTCCATGGAACTACATTGTGTCCTTAGCTTTGACATCTGTAAAATGAGAGTGATAATACCTTCACTACCTCCCTAATGGGGAGGAAGTGCTTTGTAAACCATGACGTACAATATAAAAAGGAGCTAGAGATTGAATCCAGAGAAGGGGACATCCCCAGCTCATAGGAAATAGAACTGGGAGGGATCTTGGGAATTATTTAGTCCTGTGGTGTCAAACTCAAATAGAAATTGAGGCCACCAATTCATACATAAGGATCTCTGCAGAAGGCATACTGACTTCATTTTAAAATGTAATTTTTTTTGTTTTATTTTATTTCTATTTACTTTGTTAATTATATTTAAATTTGACTCTGTGCATTTGGGAAGTTAGTGGGCTGTGTCTTTGACGTCTCTGATCTAGTCTAACCACCCTCATTTAACCCTGAGGCCTAGAAAAGTAAAATGACTAGTAATGAACCAAATCTCTGACTCTGAATCTGTTAAATCACATCAGAACTGGCTCAGTCTCTTTTGGTGTCTGCAGTCTCATTTCCTCGCACCTGTGGCCCCCTTATCTTTGCCAGAAACATGACCAGAAGTAGAATCTGGTTTCTCTAGGCTAAGGGACAGCCCAGACAGAGGTGAACATAGTGAGGCTGACATTGTCTGGGCACAGACAGCTAAGCCTGTGGAGGGGGTGGTTAAAGCAGGAAAAGACCCAGGATGCTTTCAATTATTGAACCCAGTAGGGGGCAGGAAAGGCTCACCTGGGAGGCAGGGCAGGAGGGCTGACTCTTACTCTCCTGCCTTTCACCCTGAACCTTTGGTGACTTTTGAGAGCCTCTAGAAGAAAGGTCATGAACACTGGGGACCCAGAACCAAACATATCCCAGGGGATCTTGGGTTTGTCTGAGGTTATCTCTTTTCTCAACTTGAATCTATGCCCTTGTCCTAGAGAAAGTAACAAAAGTGGCATTTACCTCTTTCCAATTTAATCAGAACCCCAGGCCAGAAGGGAGCCATAGTTGAGGAGGGGCAAGGAGCAGCTATTAGATTGGGGAACCCTTCACATATCAGCTGAAGAACTCTGCATCACTCTAGGCTATATCCAAGTTATTTGCCAAACCCTACTGGCTTTTTCCCTCCCAAAGAAACCAGTGTCTGGTATAGAGATACAGATTGTGTTCATTCTGTCTTTGAGACCAAAGATCATAAGATTTAGAAGAATTTGAGGGATCATCTAATCCAACCCCCTCATTTCACATCTGAAAAAACTGAGGGCCAGAGAGGGGAAAAGCCTGCTCACGATCATACGGTTTAGTACATAGTAGCTGAACCAGGTTTTAAAACGAATCTCCTGACTCTGAAATCCAGAGCTCCTCCGGAGATATCAGATGTGAAATTAATCCTGATAACTTCTGTGCTCCCAGCCTAGATCAGCTGCTCCCTAAAAGCCCCAGGGGACAGAGGGTCCAGTCCAGACTTAGCGGTTTTAGGAATTTGTGACCTCACTGACCATCCAATCCTTTTTATTCCAGTGTGATAAGAGGGCAGAGGGAAAGGTCACTCTAGGAAGGATTAAAGGTATAGGAAGAGGCTGGAGAAGGAAGATGATTGGACCTTGGGCCTCTTAAAGTAAAATTCGGTGGCATATAATTCTTTCCTGATCCATATATTTCATAGAGATACCTGGAGTTCATAGGCTTATTGGTAGGTAGGTAGTATAGTGGTTAGAGAAGTGTATCTGGAGTCAGGAAGACCGTAGTTCAAATTCAGCCTCAGACACTTGCTAGCTGTTTGACACTGGGCAAAGGCACTTAACCTCAATTTCCTTATTTATAAATTGGGTATAAAAATAGCACCTGCCTCCTAGCATTGTTGTGAGGGTTAAACAAGATAATATTTGTAGAGCAATTTGTAGTGCAATCCTTAAAACTCTATATAAATGCTATTATTATTATAAAACAGGAAGGGACCTTAGAAGTTATTGAGTTTTCCCTTCCCCCTCATCTTACAGATGAGGAAACTAAGTGACCCCCAAATTCATACAATGATTTGTGGACGTAGACCCAGACATTTTGACTTTATATCCTCTTTCCCACTGTAACACAAGCTCTGTTTATATTAAACATCATTAACTGATTTTGCAAAACACACTAGTAGGCAAAACACCAGGGCAGAGGAACATTATAAATTTTATGCAGGGGCAACTAATTAGTTGAGCGCCATTAGAGCTGGGCCCCACGACTTTTGGACCACAATGTATCAAAAATTTTATTGCAAGGCAATGTTAGTTGAGGAAACATTATGCAGAATATGCCTAGATTCAGTGTCTCTGTATGGTTTTATCTTGAAGAAGGATTCTGGAATTACAGTGATGACCCTTAACACAATTTGTATTTTTTCTCAATCTATACCTTCCCCCCTAGACCCAGTTAATAGCCTGTTAATGCACTGAGTTTTTGCCATTTGCACTGAGTCTACTGTAGTTTGTGCTTATTTGTTTTTTTCAGAAAAGCTTGGCAGAATATTCCCCCCCCCACCTCCTTTTAAAACTTTGGCTTAGTAGAACAGGCAAAGGTTTCGTAGACATTCATCTAGTGAGTTCTTAGTACTGCCTATGCGGCGCCTGACTTCTGACAGCAAGACCCCTCAGGAAGATTCCCTGGTTTATCTGAGGCTTGAGGAAAGGCTGTAATAATTACTGCTGCCAATGTTGTTCTGTTATTATTACTGACAAGCAATATTCAAGCTTAACTTTCTAAAAAAATCTCCCGCAATTTACAACTTTTCCATTATTTGCAACATTTCTTTGTAGGTGCCAGAAAAATGTGTGTGGGGGGCTACATTGAATTTAGCTAAGAGGAGGTAGGCAGTTGTCAGCACCATAGAATCTCAGAACTGGAAGGGGCTCCAGAAGCATCCTAGTTCAATCAGTACCTTTCTGCTGTGATTGATTAGTGAGGGCAGGACTGGAGTATACCTCCCGTCCACCTGACCTCACTAACCAGTTGCGCTATAAGGCAGCAAGGTGCTTACAACCCCCTTAGGAAAGTGTAATGGAGGGCAGCTAGGCGGTGCAGTGGACAGAGCGCTGGGACTGGAGTCAGGAGGACCTGAGTTCAAATGTGACCTCAGACACTTACTAGCTATGTGACCCTGGGCAAGTCACTTAACCTCGATTGCTCTCAAAACAAAAAGGAAGGCTTGATGAAAAGATCCCTGTAATAGAAGGCAGGAGACCTGGGTTCTCATCTCAACCCTGTCACTGACTCACTGTCTGATCCAAGGCAAGTCATTTTCCCTCAGCTTCTTCAACTGTGAAATGATTGGAGCAGTTGATTTCTAAGTCCCCTTCTAGCCCTGATGTTCATTTGGATTGTTTTTTTGTATCTGAGTAACACCCCTAGTAGGAAGCCCCCTGCCCCCATATTGTGTCCTGATGGCCCGATCCACGTGTCCCCTCCTTGTATGCAGGCACAGCCCGGGGCATTGTGATAGCTACCGGTGACCGGACTGTGATGGGCCGCATTGCCACGCTGGCCTCAGGCCTGGAGGTTGGTCGCACACCCATTGCCATGGAGATCGAGCACTTCATCCAACTGATCACTGGAGTGGCCGTCTTCCTTGGGGTTTCCTTCTTTGTGCTCTCCCTCATCCTGGGCTACAGCTGGCTGGAGGCTGTCATCTTCCTCATTGGCATCATCGTGGCCAACGTGCCCGAGGGGCTTCTGGCTACTGTCACTGTGAGTGGGCAGGGCTGGGGAGGGACAGGAGTGTGACTAGAGATGGATCGCCATTTTACTAACAGGTGTGGGTGCTCATGCACGTATTGCTCTGTGAGTCTTTGTTGATTTGACTTGAACAGAAATTCTTTCAGGCACCTGGTACAGCAGAACCTCTGGCGCCTAAGTTGAACTCCACAAGCCTTTGACAGAATAGCAGGAGTGTGCATTTACCTAGCAAATTATAGTTACAAAGGGAAGAGACAATGCAGTGTTGTGAAAAGCATGTTGGATTTTCAGTTAGAAGACCTGGGTTCTAATTTCAACTCTGACATTCCTCTCTGAGACTTTTTTCCTCATTTGTAAAATGCCTAATACCTCCCTTCCCTTCACACCTTTCCAGAGGAAGGAAATAAGCATTTATTAACCACCTACTGTGTGCCAAGCTAAGCACTTTACAACTATTATCTCATTTGCTTCTCACAGCAGCCCTAGAGGGTGGATGCTGTGGTGATCCCCATTTTATAGTTGAGGAAACTGAAGCTAGCAGAGATATAGTGACTTGCCCAGAATCACACAGCTAGTATGTGAGGTCAGACTTGAACTCGGGACTTTGTGACTCCAGGCCCAGTACTCTATCCACTGTACCACCATATATTTATTTTGTATAGTGGAAAGAACCTTGGATTTAGAGTCAGGCAGACCTGGAGTCAGATTCAGCCTCTGATAATTACTAGCTGTGTGAACAAACATGGGCAAATTACTTTGCGTCTCTGAGCCTCACCTGTAAAAGGAAGATGATATTTGTACTACCAACTTCACAGGGTTGTTATGAAGAAAGCATGTTGCAAACCTAAAATTCTGTATAAAAGTGAGCTAAAAATATAGAGATGCTATGTGATGCTTTGCACCCCAAATCAAAATATCTGAGTTAGGCTCTTACTTTGACAACGTACAAGCTGCACAGGCCTGGGCAAATTCACTTCATGGTCCCAAGTCTCCATGTCTTTATCCTTAAAATAGGGATAAAAAATAACTTGCATTCTTTCCCTCAGAGGATTGTTGATAAAGATCAAATTAGGGGCAGCTAGGTGGTGCAGTGGATAGAGCTCTGGCCTTGGAGTCAGGAGGACCTGGGTTCAAATGTGGCTGCAAACACTTGACACTTACCAGCTGTGTGACCCTGGGCAAGTCGCTTAACCCCAATTGCCTCACCAAAAAAAAAAAAAAGATCAAATTAGATCATATAGGTAAAATGTATTTAAATCATGCATCGCTATAGAAATGTGAGATATTATACCTCATTGTTATTTAATTTATCCTCATCATCAATATCAATATCTCATTTTGTATTTTTGTATCTTTCAAGCCTGTAACCCCATGTGCCTGGCACATAATAGGCACTTAATAACTGTTCGATGGATTGATTATTATTTTTATGAGGATTCTAAGGCTCAAGGGTTAAGTGGTTATTCATAGCCATATAATTAGTAAGTGCTGGAAGCACAGCCCAAATGCAGGTGTTCCAAAACCTTCAGGCTGGGGACCTGTACCATCAGGGATAGGGTAAAAACAGGTAGGACCTGAAGAACAGCCTCAAGGGTCTCTCCTACAATAATTTAAGCGAAGTGAGTCAGGGGTGAGGGGGTGGAGCCTGAAGTGAATGGTCTATCAGCTAGTATCATCTTGTTATCATTTCTAGACTGGGCTACAGCAGCCATGCTAGAGGCACCATAAAGTCACCTTGACCTCCAAGTGATGGTGTTTGTAAGGCTGAAGTCTAGAGGGAAGCTCACTTGGGGAACTCTAGGTTCAAGTCTCAGAATCAGAGGAAATATTGTTCTGTTCCCATGGAAGGAGCAAGGAGTGAGTAGAAGCATCTGAGGAGATGTTGGTCCCGGGTAGTCAGTAACCCTTAGCATTTACTTCCTGGGACACAGAGTGGGGATATCCACCCTCATCCCCAAACCTTCCCTAGCCTTGACCTAAGCCTCCTGGTCCACACCTTGGAGAGGAAAGGAAGGGTGACTCTGCTTATTCTCCTTTGCTCTTTACTTGATGTCTGAGTGGTATAGAATGAAGAATGTCTAGCAGCAGCTACTCATCCCCAAGATAAGCTGAGGGTAAGGGGGAAAAGAAATATTTTGAGGAGGGGAGTTAAGAGGCAGCATCAAGCCTTACCCACCCACATATGCATTCCCTCCAAATGGAGCTGGGGGCCTCTTGAACTTAGGGAAGAGGGGAACTGTTAATCCATTTTGTATACTTAACCTTCCTACTACCCTTTTGGAATCTTTGAGCTATACATACAGCCTCCGTTTTCTCATTACTCATTCACTCCTGAACTCTCAGCTTCAGCTGAAGTTGTTCTCTCAAAGGTCACCAGTGACCTAATCACCAAATCCATCAGCCTTTTCTCACCCCTCTTGACCTATCTGTGGCATTTGATACTGACATTTCCATTCCTTCTTAAAATTCTCTCCCTTGGCCTCTAGGATACTACACTTTCCTGTTTCTCCTTTTTTCCCTTAATTTCCTTCACGGCTCTTCTTCCTCCTACCACCTAGGACCATCTTGGAACCCTGTGGGTGTTCCCTAAGGTTTTCTCTTTAAAATCTTTTCTATTCACTGCTTTTTTAAATTCAGGTGGTTTTTTTTTTTTTAGTTTTACCAACATGTACATTACTTCTAAATCTCTTACCTTCTCCAGAATTACAGGAGCTAATATCCACCTATCTACCAGACATTTCCACTTGGATGTCCCCATAATCACCTCATCTCAATACATACCAAACTGAATTATCTTTTCACCAAAACCAGTACCTGTTTCCGGCTTCCCTTGTTTTTTCAATAGTAATGTTTTCCCCACAGAGGCACCCTCTGACTCATTTTTTACTCTTATCTTTCCCTTATCTGCACAATCCAACCAGCTGCCAAATCCTGTAGATCCTGGCTTGGAAATGTCTTACATGTTTCATCTCTCCTTTCTATTCCTACTTCTCCTGTCTTGAGAAACTGACTCCATATCTAGAGCTCATTCTAAATGTATCTACTGTATCAGGTGATGCAGGGGAATTAAGTATTAATAAGACAAAATACAGGCCAAGGCCTTGAGGAGCTTCTGATCTAGTAGATGAAATAAGACAAAGTGCACGAATAAATACAGTAAAGGCCAATGATGTGCTACCTATCTTTGATACTTCAAGGAACCCTGATTTCATCTGTGTTTCCACTCCTAATGCAGAATACAATCTCTCTAGGATCAGAGAATTAACAATGTACAATGGAAAGAATACTGATTCCAGAATACCTAAGTTTAACTCTTATCCCTGACCCTTCTTCCTTCAATGATCTTGGGCAAGTCACCTAAGTTCATTAGGCCTCAGTTTCTCCATCTGTAAAATGAGGGGGCTGGACTAGAGGGTATCTGAGGTTCTTTCCAGCTATCAATCTATGATCCTATATGACCCAGCCACACCTACAGTCAGGAAGACTCATCTTCCTGAGTTCAAATCTGTCTTCAGACGCTCACTAGCTGTGTGACCCTGGGCAAGTCACTTAACCCTGTTTGCCTCAGTTTCCTCATCTGCAAATGAGCTGAAGAAGGAAATGGCAAATCACTCCAATATCTTTGCCAAGAAAACCCCAAATGGGGTCATGAAGAGTCAGACATAACTGAAAAATGACTGACAAAAATGCTAAGATATTGGGGTTGCATAGGCTCCACCTGGGGATGAGTCTCTCTAGACTTAGATAGGTTGGTTCTTGGACAGTAGACAGGATCTATGGATGCACTCATACTTGAGGCCTTTCCAACTTGGCAAGAGCTGTTCCACTGGTATAGCCTCTGAGAGTCTAAAGTCACTTTCACATTATGATAAGATCTAGGAGTAGAACTTTCAGACTACAAGATATAAAACATAAAATGCTATGAGGTACAGAGGCAAGAAATATTGAATCTTTCTTAGAAGAGGTAGCTTTTTGGAAGTAAGGTAGGAATGACAAGATGGGGCTATATTTGATAGAGTTTAGACTTCATTCTGTCCTTTGGCAAGGGAGAGCCATTGGAGATTTTAGAGCAGCAGAGAAATATGATACTTTGGCACTGTTGTCTGAGATGAATTGTAGAGGAACAGCCTAGAGGTAAGGAAACTCAAATCATAGATTTAGGACAGAGAGAGACCTTAGAAACTACAGAGCCTCTTCATTTTGCTTAAGATTCTCCATTTTACTGGAGAAGGAAAGAGGTTTACACCCGGGTAGTAAGTAGTAGAGTCAGGATTTTAACCCAGGTCCTCTAATTTCAAAACCAGCATGCTTTCTACTACACCATACTGCCTCTAGACTAATTAAGAGTCTACTTTAATAGTCTAGGAGAGAGGCAATCCTTATTATTTATTAATATCATGTATAATATTAATTATTATTAATTATTAATATTAATCTTAACTAGGATGATTGCAGTGGGAATAGAAAGGAAGAAACATACGGAAGACATTTGAGATGTAGAAGCAAAAGGGCATTGCTTCTGATTAGTTATGAGGGCAAGGAATAGAAATAATCAATGGTGACTCTAACATTCCAAGCCTGGATAACTTAAAAGAAAGGTGGTACCATTCACAGAAATTGGAATATAAGGAGAAAGACTTGCTTTAGAGATGATAGGTTTGGTCTTAGATATGTTGAATTTGAGGTTCTGGCAGGACATCCAGGTGGAAATGTCAATTAGGCAGTTGGAAACATGGTGCTTAGACTATCCTGGAGCTCAAGATAAAGGTCATGACTGAAGCTGTAGATTTGGAAGTCAGTAGCATAGAAATGATGATTGAACCATGGGAATGGTTTAAAGTCTAATTCAAATAAGTGTCTGTCATGGATGTTACAGGTTGCAGTGTGTGGGAGACTGGATGAGAAGAATTCTATGTTCCTTCCATCTCGAGGACTTTATGATTTTACTTGAGCCAGACTGGTTTGCTTGTTATTTCCAAGCAAGCTGGGCCTATCCCTACCTTCACATCTTTGCTTAGGCCATTTCCCTCCATATGGAATGCCCTCCCCCTTTCACCTATTCACATTCTACTCATCCATCAAAGCCCAGCTCAGATTTTCCTTCATAATTTCTCTCCTAATCACTCCCACCCTCCACTGAACTCTTGTAACATTTATTGTCTGTTCCATCCATCTGACACTTAAAATGTACTGAAACCCACACATATACATGCAAATGTGGAAAAAATGTGTAATTTTGTCAATGTGGAAGATTCCCAGGTAGAAATTCCTTCCATCAATGCAGATTATAACCCATCTATAACTTAGTATCTGTCTGTCTAACTATCTCTATCTTTAAACATGTGTGTATTGAGAGAGAGAGAGAGAGAGAGAGAGAGAGAGAGAGAGAGAGAGAGAGAGAGAGTGTGTGGTGTGTGTGTGTGTGTGTGTGTGTGTGTGTGTGACATGGAAAATTGCTTTCACAGAAGGATTGAGAACAGACCAGAGTGGGAAGAGATGAATGAAAGTAGAGAAATTCTATAAAGAATTTGATAAAACTATCCAGATTAAATCAATATACTTTAATACTTAATGACTTTAAAGCAAAGGTGAGTGTAGGGGAGGATGGCAAAAAATGTGTTGTAAAACATAAGCAATGGATCAGGAAATTAAAGAAGCCAAAGAATTACAGACTACACAGAAGCTTCATGCCTAAATATCAAGACTACTTTAGTCAAGATGACAGTCTGGAGGCAAACTCAACAGAATCATTTTTTTAAAAATGAAATTGATTATAACTTAACAGACAGAAAATTTCTGCCTACTGATACAGAAATCATTTCTGAGTCAGCTGTTTATATAGAATCAGACTATTGATGGTTAGAGCAAAGATTTTTTAAAATCCATGCCTAATTAAATGAAAGAATAAAAATGGGAAGAAATTATAACCAGCAATCAAACCAGTTCCAACCTGATCTATCTAACCTGCTTAGATGAGTTAGAGATAAAGGCATGGACTATCACTATTTCCTATAAAAAATGTAACCACTCTAAAGCAAGGTGTCATGAGGCAGTGTGCCAGAGTGTAGAGAGATCTGCCCTCAGAATCAGGATGCCATGGATTCAGGTTTCGTGGCTGACACAAACCGTCTGTCCGATTCTGAACTTCTTGGTTCTTCTTGCAACTGCTTACAACCATAAACTGCAAGAAGGTGCCAATCTGTATCAGCAGAAGTTCCCCCCTGGGTACTCCCTACACCGATGAAATCAAAAGCAGGAGGGTTTTTTTGTTATTTTTTAGTTGACACAGCCATAAGGTCAAAAGCACGAAGAAACTTCCTTATCCAGTAAACACTTGGTCCTCTTGCCAAGAGAAGAGATGTAGCAGCCAAGAGCAACACCCGTTCAGAATATAAACTCACTTGCAAAATTTTGCAGAGAAGGATGGCAGAAGGTTATGAGGGGTAATACCTCCCATGAAGTGGGAGGAAAAATAAGCTTACAGAAAACTTGAGTTAAGACCCAATTAGGCCAGATCATTCTGAGAGCATTTAAGGATGAAACTAGAAGGATAACCAGAGACGACAACAGCAGCAGCAACAAAATGAAAGAAAAGAGGAAAATATTTGGCAAAATAAATCTTTACCAATTGGGTTCTGATTATTAATATCAAGCAAGACATAAAGCATGATATGCTTGCCAAAGGCATTTGTCACCATCATGGTTTAGTGCAAAGTCCAAGGTGAAGAAACAGTCCTTGTAGATAACACCTAGCATATGTAGGGTACTTTAAGGCTTGCAGAGCACTTCACGGGTTCTCATTTGACCCTGATAATAACCCTGTGAAGTAGATGTTGTTATTATCCCCATTTTACAGATGATGAAACTGAGTCATAAAGTGGTTTGCTCACAGTCTTAGAACTAGTTTAAATGTCTTAGACATGACTCAAACTCACGATTCTCTGACTCCTGAGTCCAACCCCTCTACAAACTGTGCCAGAGAGCTGTCATGGGGAGGTACTGTAGCTGATCCTGCTTTAAGATCACATTGTGCTGACTATATCAGACTCTGTCAAAGCACAGAGCCTCCTAAATGATACCCATAATCATTAAAAAGAGTTCAGTACAACCATCCACTGGAGAAACTAAGTCAACAAAGACTGTCTGTCGTCCAGATTAGGACATGCGGTTGGTTCATAAACTGGTTCATCAGTATATGTATCTTGGATAGAAATGGCAAATGGAGGGGCAGCTAGGTGGTACAGTGGATAGAGCACCAGCCCTGGATTCAGGAGGACCTGAGTTCAAATGCGGCCTCAGATACATAACACTTACTAGCTGTGTGACCCTGGGCAAGTCACTTAACCCCATTTGCCTAGCTTAAATTAAATAAATAAATAAATAAATAAATAGAAATGGTAAATGGACGATGAACTGGGCCCAGAATTGAACAGGAAAAGGAGAGATTGTATTTGGGAAATTGTGTAAGGCTTTATTGATCCCAAGCCTCTTGAAACAAAATTCCATTTTTAAAATACCAATGTTCTTCCAATGAAGTTACATGACTACAAATCATGGAATACCACAGACTTTTAGGAATGAAAATTGTAGAACACCCAAAGGGCAGAGAAGAGATTCATGCTGGGTCTGAATAGGCTGCAAGATATTAATGACAATTAATTGCTTGTGTGCCTGGAGGAGGATTTATGGGAAAACATGGTCAAGAGTCACACAGTAGGAGAATGGATTGTGGACAAATTATAGTCCTCACCAGTGAAAATCGCAGATCTGTGTATGTGTACCCACATGACAGCTAATCAAAGTATTCACAGTTCTGAGGTGCATTTGTGTTTTATTTCCCCATTTGGAGTGTTGGCTTATAGATATGGTGGTGTCCGTGTCTTGTACATCTTTGTATCTTGTGGTAAGCACTCAGTAAATATTTATTGAATAGATTTGTTGATGAATTAATGAAATTCAGTAGTAGGGTTAGAAGTAGAATTAAGGTTAGAAATTAGGGACCATGCAATAATAAGAGAAAGACCATGCCTTCAGTGTTAGTCAAAGATAGCTCTCCCCAACACCAGACTTAGTTCCTTTTCTTGCTTCTCTTCTCTTCTCTCCCCCCCTTACCCCTGCCCCTATAGGTGTGTCTTACCCTGACAGCCAAGCGAATGGCCCGGAAGAACTGTCTGGTGAAGAACCTTGAGGCTGTGGAGACCTTGGGATCGACCTCCACCATCTGCTCAGACAAGACAGGCACCCTCACCCAGAACCGGATGACTGTGGCCCACATGTGGTTTGACAACCAGATCCATGAGGCCGATACCACCGAAGACCAGTCTGGTGATGCAAACACTGGGACGCTCATTGGCTGGGAGTGTTGGGAACTGGGAGGGAGCTGAAGGCACTAAGAGGAAATGGGTAGGGGGTAAGGAAAAAGATAAAATGGAGGACTATTTGGGTGAGAGGCATTGAAACGGGGGACCTTGTTCATGGCTCCACCGTATGATTGTCAGGCACCATGGGGTGAAGTGGAAAGATCTCTGGATTTAAGAGTCAGGAGACCAGGGCAGGGTGTAAGGTCACATCTCCTCAACTAAATGTAAGATTTGTGTAGCCCTGGACAAGTAACTCAACCTGCTTTGAACCTGTTTCCTAATCTGTAAAATGGGCGTAACAATACTTGAACTCCCATGCTCACCAGGGCTGTATGAGGCTTAAATAAAAATAGAACACTTTATAAAGATCATATAAAATTCTGTATAAACATAAGCCATTGTTATTATCATTATCATCATCATCATCATCATCCAGGCGCCACATTTGATAAACGCTCTCCAACCTGGACTGCTTTGTCTCGAATCGCTGGCCTCTGCAACCGTGCAGTCTTCAAGGCTGGGCAGGAGAACATCTCTGTATCTAAGGTAAAGGGAGCCAGGATTGAAGGGGGAAAAGAGGATGTCAGGATTTTGGTGATGACTGTTACTTCAAAAGGCTTCCCTTATCCTTGAAAAGCCACCATGGCTTCTCCTAGCCCCTTACTTTAAAAAAAAAAAGCCATTTTTATTGAAATACAAAAAGTGCAAATGGTGAAATACATAATTGGAGCAGAGGAAGTCACTAAGTGTGAATGTGAACTCATTTCACAGTGGAGCCCTCCCACAGAGGCAGACCGGTGAGAAAAGGCTTCTGGGAAGAAAGGGATGAGACAGGCCAAAAAGCCTCCCCATAACAGGAAGGGAGTTGGAGAGAAGGGTTATAGGCAAATGCAATACACAAATGAGGACAGAAAGCAGAGAGGGGCAGATAGGGACAGGTGACAGCTTCCAGGGCCCCAGTCCTCACACTCTACCTGTAACCTTAAGAGGAAAGAGCTCAGCACTGTCAGTGTGCATCCTGTCTCCCAGACAGTGGTCAGGAAGGGCTGGCTTGATCAGGTCAGAAGAGAGAGCAAGAGGTCAGCAAAGGCCACAAGGATGCTGAACTCCGGGCAGATCTGCTCCTGCCCAAGGATGTGGGGGCAGAGGTACAATGAACAGGAGCTCCCCCAGGGCTGAGGGGGAAGGGGAAAAATAGGAAAAGGGGCAGATTAGCTCTGGACACATAATAGTGGGACAGGTCATAAGGAACCCAGCCCCCTACTTCTATAATTTGCCTCTCCTTTCAGCCCCTTCAGTGAGGTCTCAGTGATTACTCTGTGACCACAGTAACTCCATGCCCCTTTCCTCCATCCCAACCCCTAACAAACCCCCTGTGATAACTCCTGTTCTGGCAGCGGGACACAGCTGGTGATGCCTCTGAGTCTGCTCTACTCAAGTGTATTGAACTATCATGTGGCTCTGTCAGGAAGATGAGGGACAGGAACCCCAAAGTGGCTGAAATCCCCTTCAACTCCACCAACAAGTACCAGGTACAGAGATGGTCCCAAAATGACATGGGGAGAGGGATGGGACAAATGCAGGGAGGACAAGGGGGCAGAAATAGCCTTTATCTTCAGCAGGAAACGAGGGCTGTCAATAACTTATAAGGATCTGTGGGTGGAACTGTGTGTCAGGCTCTATGGAAAAGAACACTTTTGGAGTAAGATGGGGCTCCGTTTAGGACAGAGTTAAGACACAGATAATGAATTTTTTTTATCGAATCACAGATAATACTAAGATATACTATTAGGTGGTGTAAGAAAGATACAAAATTAAAGTTCATTGTGTAGTAGGAGGGGTAAAGTATCTGTTAGAGATTGAAGCAAATATTCACCCTCTTCTGCCTTGTATCTCAATGACTGCAAGTCTCAATCACCGCCCCCCATCCTACCATATCCCTCCAGAGAAATATACCAAAATGAACACTAGACTTCTGGTCAGAAAGGAGATGGCTTCACACCTCAGCTCTAATATTTACTTGCTATGGGACCCTGGACAAGTCATTTGTCCTTTCTGGTTCACTCATTTGTAAAACAGAAATAATAATACCTGCACTCTCTGAATCATGGGGTTGTGTGTTGTGGGAAAATTGCTTTGTAGACCTTAAAGTATCATAAAAACGTGAATTGTTACCTCTAACCAGGACACTGTCCTCATTTCTTTTTATAATAATAGCTGCCATTTCTCTAACACTTTACAGCTTACAAAATGCTTTTCTCACAACAATTCTGTGAAATTGTTTAAAATAACATTTAAATAGCACTTTTAAGATTTAAAAGTATTATTATTTCCATTTCACATGTGGGAAAACTGAGGCTGAGTCACATGACTCCTTGGGAAGGCATAGAATAGTAAAAAAGGAGAGAGAGAGAGAGAGAGAGAGAGAGAGAGAGAGAGAGAGAGAGAGAGAGAGAGAGAAAAGAGAGAGAGAGAGAGAGAGAGAGAGAGAGAGAGAGAGAGAGAGAGAGAGAGAGAGAGAGAGAGAGAGAGAGAAGTGGATTTGGAGTTAGAATATTTGGATTTGAATCCTGGTTCTCCCATCAACTACTTGCATTTCTTCATCACCAAAATGAAGGGATTGCAACTAGATTCCCTCTGAGGTCACTGCCAGCTCTAAAATCTTACAATCACTGCTCACACAGCGAGGGCATGATGTACTGGTTCTAGAATGGGAGGATCTGGATTCAAATCCAGCTTATGATGATGCTTGCTCTCTGTGTGACCCTGGAGCAAGTCAGTTAGCTTCCTCTGATCTGTTTCCTCATCTATAAAATGAGTGCTTCCAAGGCCCCTTCTAGCTGGAGACCCATGATCCTGTGATCCTAAGGGCTGTGTCTTCTAATTTTAAGTCCACTCTACCAAACTGCCCCTGCCCCAAGTCTTCCATTTTCCCATTGACTTTGCCTGCCGTTGCCTCCTCTGCCTTCCCTGACATTGCCTTTGTCCTCTCTCCCAGCTATCCATCCATGAACGGGAAGACAGTCCCCAGAGCCATGTGCTGGTGATGAAAGGGGCTCCAGAGAGGATCCTGGACCGATGCTCTTCCATCCTTGTCCAGGGCAAGGAGATTCCTCTGGACAAGGAGATGCAGGATGCCTTCCAAAATGCCTACATGGAGCTAGGAGGCCTGGGGGAGCGTGTGCTTGGTGAGGGATCAAGGGGACTTAGGGATCAAGGGAGGTGGGGCTCAGAAAAGCAGTAGGGAGCCTCTCTGTTGGTATCATTGAGTAGAACCTGCTTGTAGCCTGTATACATTCCTAGCTTTCGGCCTAGTCTCTCCCTCATACCTCCTTTTCCCCTCCCTCCAGGGTTTTGCCACCTCAACCTACCCTCTGCAAAATTCCCTCGGGGTTTCAAGTTTGACACAGATGAACTGAACTTCCCCACAGAGAAGCTTTGCTTTGTGGGACTCATGTCCATGATTGACCCTCCCCGAGCTGCTGTACCTGATGCTGTGGGCAAGTGCCGAAGTGCAGGGATCAAGGTACCAGTCCTCTCCCCTCCCTTCCCCATCCCCTTCCTTTCCCCTTTCCCCTCTCTTCCTTTTTCTTCTTTCATTCTTCCCTTAGAACCGAGGATCTCGAGGCTATTGCATGGAGAAATTCAAGACCGTTGTATTAGAGACACACTCATTGCTCCTAACCATTCATTCTCCAAGCCTTGAGTGCTTGTACTCTCCCCACATAGATAATGGAATCACTCCCTGGAGGAGGTTCTCACAAACAGCTTGTACATAATCTGGGAAGCTATAGCTGCACAAGCTAGGGGTACTCCCAGCTAGGCTGACTCTCTTCACTCTGGGAGGAAACATCAACCCCTTGGGAGTCTACCCCTAGACTAGTCCATAGACTGTGAGTGTGGGCATCAGAACATCCTCTTGCCATTCACTCTCACTGACCACCACTATCTTGTCTTTCCTTCTAAATCACACACTGTTCCTAAAGTCACTCAGACCATACTAACTGTGTATTTTATTCATCACACACTCTGTACTCTACCCTTGACATTTTCAGTCCCAATCATCCGGGAGCCAGATCTCCCACCATCATGCCAAAAATTGTCACCACCATCAAAGAGACATTTTAATTCCCTAAATAGCCAGGGAGTTTGGAGGCATCATTATCAACGGCAAGCAGCTATGTGCCCCCATGCTGCCTTCCCTGCACCGCTATCTGCTTTTCAACCCTCATATACCCCGAGTCTGCTCTGGGGTCGAGCCCTTTAGTTGTTCTTTTCTGCAGCTGAGAGGAGGCTCTGTCCTTCCATGCAAAGAGCACTGGCTCCAAAGTCAGAGAACCAAAACCCACCTCTGATTCTAACTCCTTTTATGAGCTTAGACTCATAACTTACATTCCTTGGCTTTCAATTTCAACTGTAAATGAGATGGTTGGGCTAGATGGCCTCTGAGCTCCCTTCGTTTTGAATAGAAAGGTAGGATAGGATAACGTATAGAAGGATGGATTAGAGTCAGAAAGATCTGGGTTCTAATTCTGCCTCAGTTACTTACTATCTGTGTGGGCAAGGCAATTAACCTCTCTGTATCTCAGTTTTCTCATTTATAAAATGAGATGGTTGGGCTAGATGGCCTCTGAGCTCCCTTCATTTTAAATAGAGAGGTAGGATAGGATATATAGAATATATATATATAGAAGGATGGATTGGAGTCAGAAAGATCTGGGTTCTAATTCTGCCTCAGTTACTTACTAACTGTGTGGGCAAGGCAATTAACCTCTCTGTATCTCAGTTTTCTCATTTATAAAATGAGATGGTTGAACATAATGACTTCTAAGGTCTTTTCAAGCTCTAAATCTATGATTTTATTCTCTATTTATCCCTTGATCTTCCTGTGGAAAGTTAACCCTTGCCTTTGCATTCTCACTCCAATCTCTTTTACTAAAATAATTATTTTTTTTCCTGAACCTTCTCCATCTCTACCATAATTTATTGTGTAGACTCATATATGTTTAGAGTAGGAAAAGACCGCTGGTACCTTCCTCTCTGCTTATAACAAACATTGCATGAAGAAATAGGAGGCTACTGGGGCAGCTAGGAGGCACAGGGAAGAGAGTACCAGCCCTGGAGTCAGGAGGACATGAGTTCAAATCCAGTCTCCGGCCAGACACTTGACCTTACTAGCTGTGTGACCCTAGGCAAGTCACTTAACCCCAATTGCCTTGCCAAAAAAAGAAAGAAAGAAAGAAAGAAAGAAATAGGAGGCTGAGCCAGGAAATAACCTGTCAGATTAAACATGTGTTAGAGTCTCTTCCTGTTCTCTGGTTGACCTCTACTTTTAGCAGTCCCAAAGCTGTTGGGATGAAGTCCCTTCCACATTTTTCTTCTAATGCCACTGGCCTTTGTCTAGCCCAGCCAAAAATCCTCTTCTTTCCTCTTAGTCAGTGAAGACACAGGTTAGGTTTTTCAGTAACATTATAGGGAAATTAAACTTAGCAGAACATGGTGGGAAGTGCTCTGAAATACCATCATCATCATCATTGCCATTATCATCATCATCATCATCATCATCATCACAGCTTATATTCCTATATTGCTTTAAGGTTTATAAAGCATCTTATATATGCAATCTTGTTTAATTCTTATAACAGCCCTGTGAGAAGGGTACTACCATCATCCCTGTTTTACAGATGAAGAAACCAAGGTTCCCAGAGGCTTAGTCACTTGGTTACATGGTCAGTAAATGATAAGATGAAGACTCAAAGCCAGGTCTTCTGCCTTCAAATCTAGTGCTCCATTATGTATAAGAAAGTCCAGGGCACAGATGAAGTTTCCTAGACTCAGATCTTGGGAATGTTTTTCTTTAGTGGCTAAGATGGAGAACTTTGAGAAAGGCACAATAAGACAATTAAATCAACCATTTCCTGCTTGGATCAAATCCAAATCCCTTAGTGTAGGGATTGTAGTATCTTCCCCTTACAGCCTTCTCATTTCTTATTCATCCATTAAGGCAAACCTATGGCTTGTCTACTCTCTATGTCTTACACTGTCACCTGTGAGCTACTATGTGTAGAAATCACAGCATCTCCTTTGGTTCACCAGCTCCATCCTCCTTTGTATTGCATCCTCATGACTGAGCGGGCTGGATCTCTTCTAGCTATAGTGTGGCACAGTGAATATAGCACTAACCAGAGAGTCAGGAATACCTGGGTCCAAATCCTACCTCTGACATTTATTCTACCAGTCATATAGACATATAGACATAGGTAAATCACTTAACCTCTCTGAGTCTCAGTTTCTCTGTCTGTAAAATGGAGATTATAATACCTGTGGTACCTTTGCTATTCTCTGTGGTCTTTCAGCTAGCATAGAAAGCAGCTCAACTACCACATTTACCAGTTCTTTCAACACCTGAGGATGTAGTTCTGTGGAGTTGTAAGGGTGGGTGGTTATGAGGCTCAAATGAGATAATCGTATGCAAAGTGCTTTGCAAATTACAAAATGTTGTATGAATGTCAATTGTTGTTATTGTCTGCTCTGGGGAATAATATATGTATATTTATGTAGCATTTGCATATACATATAGCACTTTATGATTACAAAGTAGTCTTATATACACATACACATATATGTATTTAAATTATATATGTATTTATATTATATGTGTATTTGTATACATGTGTGTACACATAGTATATATGTGTTCATATGTATACTTATATGTGTATTTGTATGCATATGTGTGTATGTATAATATATGTATATACATATACACAACATATATGTATAGTATATATTGTATAGATATAGTATATATGTGTATTATATGTATGTTAGTGTTTGTATATAATCTCATTTGATCCATGGATTAATCCTGTGAGATAATCAAGGTCAGTATTATATCTTCATTTTAAAAATGAGGAAACCAAAGCCGAAAAAGTTAAGTGAGAGGCACCCCATGGTGTCATGGAAAATAGAGATAGAAGGCAGTCGTAAAACTCGTGGCCTTAAGCAGCAATATACAGAAATGCACAGTCTAGGCAAGAAACAGAACTAACCAGAGCTCCAATGCAAGGAGTCAAATTGGACATTATGGGTATTACTCAGACTTGGTGAAATCAGGGACTGGAATTCATAAGAGTATGCCTTGGAGGGACAATGTGTGATAATGGCTAGAAGGCTGGCCCTGAACTCAGGAAGACCTGAGCTGCTTTGGTCATATGCTGGCTATGTGACCACAGGCAAGTCGTTTAACCTTTCATCTGTCCAAGTGATTCTGTAAGTTGCCAATCTATATCAATGCAGAAAGTTTTCACACTAGGAATTCTCCAAACCATTGTGATGACAGGTGTGGAACAAAAAAGTAAAAAGGGTAGACCGTGGATAAAAGAAAAAGGAGAAATGAAAAGAGGGAGATACGATAACATTGAATATTAAAGAGATAGATTCAAGTGAGGAAATTTAGGAACTAGAGAGGAGAAGCATGATGGAGAGTGAAGGCAGATGGAGGGAGGACCAGAAGAATGTTATCATCTGACCACCTGGACAGACAGAGGAAATAAAGGAGGAATTCAGGAAACAGATCACAAGCCTGGCAGAGATGCATGATTAAGTAGTGTTGGAGGCCTTCAATTATCCAGACGTGTTTGGAGCTCTCTCTCTCTCTCTCTCTCTCTCTCTCTCTCTCTCTCTCTCTCTCTCTCTCTCTCTCTCTCTCTCTCTCTCTCTCTCTCTCTCCCTCTCTCTTTCTCTCTCTCTCTCTCTCTCTCTCACACACACACACACACACACACACATAGTGTAGCTGATAACTTCTTGACTTGCCTTAATTACATTTTCATCCTTGACAAAAGGTAGAGGAATTTTTAAAAGGGAAAATATATTGAAGATTTGATTCTCACTAATAAGAAGGAACTTGTTTCTGGGGCAAAAATGTTGGGAACCTTGGGACGTTGGGAGCAGTAAGCACTCAAGCTTAGAGTGTGTGACAGAAAAGCAGCAAGAGGCCTGGGTTGTTCCGTTATGCATACTACATTATGGAAGAACATATTTCAAAGGGACCAGAGGAAAGATAGGATGCCATTAACTAAAATTTCTCAAGGGAAACCAACACAGAATGTATAGGGAAGCTTTCAAGAATGAAATTCTGAAGATATAAAAAGAAAGAATTTGAATGAAGAAAAAGAGGAGTTGTGTCAAGAGACTGATGTGAATGCCTAGGGAATTCATCAATCAACCTAGATTTTTAAAGAATATGTATAGAAAGCAGAAGCAAGGGCAAGTCTGTCCCAGTACTCTAAGATCAGTGTCAGGAGTGCTAATGAATGGAGTTCAGAATGAACTCGGGCCAGTGAGGAAAGCTAAGGACAGAAAAAGGGGGCGAGGAGAGAGGGATTTGATTTATCTTCGGCAAAAGAGGAGGATTAAAGAAGGGATGGGGACACTGCTCTGGATGGATGGGACAATAATAACTGTTGGCAGCGAGAGGCAGAGCTGCTCAGTTGTCATTTTGCTTGTTTTCTTTGCCAAGAAGAATCATCTTTGGACTAGGAAAAACAAAACCAAAAGTGGCTAATAGGGAACTGATAGCCAATATATTTAAAGAGATAGTAAAAGAGCACCTAGGTGCCCTTGATCAAATGGGATACTATTTGTAAAGAACTTAGCATAGCACTGGGTACATAGGAGGATCTTAACAAATAGTTGTTGCCTTCCTTCCTTGATGAATTCGAATCACTTGGCCCTGATGAACTACTTCTTGGAAAGATCTGGCAGGTGTGATTATTGAGATTTTGTTATTGGTTAGTCACTTTTCAGTTGTGTCTGGCCAATTCTTTGTGATCCCATTTGGAATTTTCCTGGCAAAGATACTGGAGTAGTTTGCCATTTTCTTCTCCAGCTCATTTCACAGATGAAGAAACTGAGGCAAATGGGGTTAAGTCACTTGCCCAGGGTCACAAAGCTAATAAATGTCTGAGGTCAAATTTGAACTCAGGTCTTCCTGACTCCAGTCCCAGAACTCCATCCACTGAACCACCAAACTACCCTTAATTATTATTGAGATATTGTCAGTGATATTTTGAAAATCATGGAGAATAAGAAAGGTATCGCAGCATTGGAGAAAGGCAAATATCACAATTAAAAGTAGGAATGGAATCTCCAAACTATAGTCTAGTGAACTTGAATTAAATTCTTGAAATAATTTTAGGGTATATTATTAAAGAGGTGGTTAGTGAACTATAACTAGGAAAGGAAGTAGTGATCACAAAGAGTCAATGTGGTTTCATTAGGAATAAATCATGCCAGACTAATGTAATTTCCTTTTTTTTTTTTGACAGTATTACTGAACTGGTCAATCAGGAGAATGCTATGATACAGATGTAGGAAATATCTAAAAATGGAAGCCAGGTGGAATACTGGATAGAGTGCAGGGCCTGAAGGCAGGAAGAATCATCTTCTTGAGTTCAAATCCAGCCTCAGACACTTACTAGTTGTGTGAATCTGGGCAAATCATTTTACCTTGTTTGCCTGAGTTTCCTCATCTGTAAAATGAGCTGGAGAAGGAAATGGCAAACCACTGTAGTATCTTTGCCAAGAAAATCCCAAATGGGGGCAGCTAGATTGCATAGTAGATAGAGTACCGGCCCTGAAGTCAGGAGAAGCTGAGTTCAAATGTGGCCTCAGACCAAACACTTGTCACTTACTGGCTGTGTGACCCTGGGCAAGTCACTTAACCCCAATTGCCTAAACAAAAAAAAAAATTAAAAAAAAAGAAAATCCCAAATGGGGTCACAAAGAGTCAAACAAGACTGAGAAAAGACTGAACAACAACAAATATCCAAAAAGCTTTTAGCAAAGCATTTAATAGACTATCACACCATTTTTGTTGGAAGGAGGCCTTTACAATCTGTGCTTAGCTTGTGCTACTTAACATTTTTATTTATGATTTAGATAAAGGTATATATAGCATGCTTATCAAATTTGCAGGTAACACAAAACTGAAAGAGTTGGAAAACACAACAGATGGCATATCTATGATGGCCAAAAAATGTTGACAGGCTAGAACAAAAGCAAATTGCTGCCAGAAGCCTGCTTTTGTACGACCCACAAGCTAAGAATGGTTTTTACATTTCAAAATAAAGTTTTATTGTATTTAAAAATGTTAAAAAAAACATTCTTAGTTAGCAGGCTATATAAAAACAGGCAGCAGGCCAGATTTGGCTCTCTGGCAGCAGTTTGCTGGCCCTTGGGCTAGAGCATTAGGTCGAATCAAATAGGATGAAATATAATAGGGAAAAGTAAAGTCTTAAACTTGAGTTCAAAAAAAATCCATTTTCACAAGTACAAGATAGGGGAGGTATGGTTAGATAACAGTTCATCTAAAAAAAAATAGGAATTTCAGTGGACTGCAAGCTCATTATGAGTCAGCTGTGTGATATAATAGCCAAAAAACTGTGATCTTGGGCTGCATTAAGAGAGCCATATTTCCAGGAATAAAGGAAATAGTCCCACCATCATCCACCCTGGTCAGACTTCATCTAGAATGTTGTGATAAGTTGGAGAGTGTCCAGAGAATAGCAACCATGATGGTGAAGGCCAATATAACTTCGTGCCATATGAACATAGGTCAAAAGAATAGGGGATGTTTTGTCTAGAGAAGAGAAGACCAGAAGAAGAAATATGATAATTGTCTTCAAGTATTTGAAGGGCTGACACCGAAGAGAAATTAAGCTTATTTTGTTTGGCCCCCAAAGGGAAGAATTGGGGGCAATTGGTGGAAGTAGCAATAAGGCAAATTTAGGTTTGATGTAAGGAAAACATCTTTTTAAGAAAATCAATAGTATTTTATTTTTTCCAATTACATGTAAAGAATTTCAACATTCATTTTTAGAAAGATTTTGAGTTCCAAATTTTTCTCCTTCCCTCTTTCCCTCCCCTCCCCCCTCCCCAAGACAGCAAGCAATCTGATATAGGTTATACATGTGCAATAATGTAAAATATATTTTCACATTAGTCATGTTGTAAAAGAAGAAATAGGAAAAAAGGGAAAAAACATTAAAAAAACCAAAAGTGAAAATAGTATGCTTCGATCTGCATTCAGGCTCCATCATTTCTTTCTCTGGATGTGGATAGCATTTTCCATCATGAGTCAAGGAAATACATCTTGATGCTAAAGTAGAATAGGCCTGTTTCTGCAAATAATTTGTGTAATATGGGAATTGTTCCTTAAATATTAAGTTTATACTTTTCCTATATTAAGCCAACTTTATGTTCCTTGTATAAATTCAGTCTAGTCATAGCATATAATCTTTATGGTACTTTGTTTTACCCTCTTTGCTAGTCATTTATTTCAAATTTTTGTATCTGTGTTCATTAGGGACATTGGTCTACAGATTTCTTTTCCTGTTTTGATTCTCCCTGGTTTATATATTAAGACCATATCTCTGTCATAGAAGGGATTTGGCAGGATTTCTTCTTAATCTGTAAATGTAATGTAAAAACAAAACACATTAATAAAACTTTAAAAAAGAAAAATAATAATTTTTTAAAAGTAGGCTGGACTGCCCTGAGAGGAAGTAGTTTGTCTTTGGAGATCGTTGAGCAAAGACTGGATGACCACTTCTCAGCAACATTAGAGAAGGAATTCTTTTGCAGGGATGGGTTGGACTAGATCACTGCTGTAGTCCTTTCCAACTCTGAAACTCTGTGTGTGTGTGTGTGTGTGTGTGTGTGTTTACATGGGGGAGAGGTTGGGGGGGTGTAAGTATATGTGGGGGCTGGGTTGGGTGTTTCTGTGGAGAAAGCACTGGACTGGCAGACGGGAGAGACCTAGATGTGAGTGCCAGCTCTGACACTAACTGGCTGTCTGGTGTCTCTGAGCTTTGGTTTTGTCATGTGTTCAGTGATGATGTTAAGATTTATGCTTTGGACCTTGCAGGCTTATAAGGAAGGTGCTTTGTCAACTTTGAAGGTTTTTGTGGTGGGGAGGAAGAGCAGAGCAGGACGGACCCTTCTTATTTCATTAGTGTGTTGTTGTCGTTGTCGTTGTTGCTGAGGTGTTTTCAGTCCGTTTAGGATTTTCTTAGCAAAGATACTGGAGTGGTTTGTCATTTCCTTCTCCAGCTCATTTTGCAGATGAGGAAACTGAGGCAAACAGGGTTAAGTGACTTGCCCAGGATCACACAACTAGTACATGTCTGAGGTCACATTTGAACTCAGGAAGATGATTCTACCTAACTCCAGGCCCAGTGCTCTGTGCACTATGGTGTTACCTAGCTGCCCCAGTTGGTATAGTAATTCCTTATCAGGAAACACCCTCTAGTGAGACTGATTAGCAACTGTTCTACAATTTGTAGTCTTAGGGGGTTGCCTGAGGGTACTGAGAAGTCAAGGGACTTGCCCAGGGTCACACAGCTAGTGGATGTCAGAAGTAGAACTTGAACCCAGATCTTCCTGGCTGCAAGCCCTGTTCTCTCTAACTGCTATAGCAGTGGTGTCAAACTCAAATAGAAGTGAGGCCACTAGCCTTTACTTAAGGATCCTGTGGACTGACTTAGGTTTTGGAGAGTTTTTTGCTTCTTTTTTTTTTTTAGGCAGTCAGAGTTAAGTGACTTGCCCAGGGCCACACAGCTAATAATTGTCTGAGGCCAAATTGGAACTCAGGTCCTCCTGACTCCAGTCCTGGCATTCTATTCACTGTGCCACCTAGATGACCCCTGACTTAGTTTTAAAATGTGAGATTACCTATGCTCTATTGTGTTTTTATTTCTTTTATTCAATATTTCCCAATTATATTTTAATTTGTTCCTGCTGCTCTTGGTAGTGCTATGGGTCACAGGCAGCCAGGAGTCTCCATAATCATTTACACCACCCTCCACGTTAAACTTAAGCACATTGACTTTAAGAACAAGCAAGTCCTTAGAGATGATCTTGTCCAATTCACTCATCTTAAGGATGAGGAAATTGAGGCCTCTAAGGGGTATTACCTTGCCCAGCATCATACAGCTAGTGAATGTCAGTCTGGATTATAACTCAGGTCTCCTGACTCCCATTTCAGCATTTTTTCCTACTATACAGGGCCACCACGGTCACATGTCTAATAAGTGATGGGAACCAGAGTAGACTCCACCTTAGTATGGTGCTCCTCTGTTCCCTCCCTTGAGCTTCCTCTTTTGGGACTCAAATGAGGTTTGATAGCATCTTCCTGTGTCTTCTTTCTTCTCCTTCTAGGTGATCATGGTGACTGGGGACCATCCTATCACAGCAAAGGCTATTGCCAAGGGTGTGGGCATCATCTCAGAGGGGAATGAGACAGTAGAAGACATCGCTGCCCGGCTAAATATTCCTGTCAGCCAGGTCAATCCCAGGTGAGGTCCCTACTGGGTGCCCCTGACCAAGGATATGCTAGAAATGGCTGAACTGAGGGCAAAGTGTTAAATTTCCACTGTGAACACTCACACCTTGGAAACTGACAAACATGACAAATCAGGGCTTGATTTTTTGTTTTGTTGATTGTTTAGATATAAGAAAGTGTTGGAGAAAATGTGCAGATTAAACTTAAAAGTATGTCCTGCGTACACTTTTTTCTCCTGGAAAGCCCATTGCTAAACATTTACCAGCATGCCACTACCCCTGACCAAATGCCATCTTTATCTGCTGCACTGGGTGGATACCTCTCCCATCCTATATCTCTACTCAGAATTGAGTGCCCCGCTGTGGGGCTTATAGTGCACATCCCTGTGACCTCTAAAGCCCCAATGTTTGGCCTAATGAGTGACTTGCTTTGACTGCCTTACTTCCTTCATGCTGAGGTTTTGAGTCTTCGTGGTGGGCATTTACTCCTTCCCCAAAGGACAGTCCCTGAAAGGAAATGGAAAAAGCTGAATCCCAGAGAGTAGCAGGACATGAGAACTGAGGGATGAAGGGAGCTAAAGTCTGGGATGTGGAGAGAAAGGTCAGCCAAATTGTGTGTTGTTCCCTAACCAATGCAGAGAAGCCAAGGCCTGTGTGGTCCACGGGTCTGACCTGAAGGACATGACATCGGAGCAGCTGGATGAGATCCTTAAGAACCACACAGAGATCGTCTTTGCTCGGACTTCTCCACAGCAGAAGCTCATCATTGTGGAGGGATGTCAGAGACAGGTAGGAAAGCTGAATGGGGTGAGACAGGGCAGACTTTTGGGCTATCAGGGATGAGTAGAAGGCCTATCAGACATGAGTATATAAGATGGGGGAACCAGGCCCAGGAGACAGAGAACTGTCAAGGGAATATCTAGGATGAGGGACCAGGATGCCTCTCCAGGAGAAGTGATGAAGCAGAACCGTCATAGCATTCTTCAAGTATTTGAAAGACAGATCAAAATTGTTCTGCTTGGTCACGGAGAACAGAACTAGTAGTTATAGACACAAGGTACATTTAAGCATCCTATCTATCTAAATTATCTGAATTAGAACTTTAAAAAACAGAATGGGCTACCTTGAGAGCAAGTGAATTCCTCATGACTGGAGTTCTTCAAACAACCCCTTTGTTGGGATGTGATAGGAGGGATTGTAGAGAGGTAACATGGTGTGTAGTGGAGAGAGCATCGAATTTGAAGTCAGAAAGACCTGTGTGCCTCATTTTCCTCTTGATAGGATGGGGGTTGGACTTGGCCTCCAAGATCCTGTCCAGCTCTAAATATCTGATCCCATGATTCTCATTACAAGACAGGTCAGATTAGATGACCTCTCAGGTTCCTTTTGACTTGGGGATCCTGAGGCTTGGCAGAGCCTCTGCCTCTGATGGTGTGTTCTCTTCAGGGTGCCATCGTGGCAGTGACCGGTGACGGTGTGAATGATTCTCCTGCACTGAAGAAGGCTGACATTGGCATTGCCATGGGCATCTCTGGCTCTGATGTCTCCAAGCAGGCAGCTGATATGATCTTACTAGATGATAACTTTGCCTCCATTGTCACTGGCGTGGAGGAGGGTGAGTAGGCTGCCCATGGCTGCTCTCCAGTTCATTCTTGGCACATTTATCCCAGTTGAGTCAGGTGCCAAACAGCCATCAGGAAAACATTCTTCACTAAGATCTCACACCAAAGGCTGGGGGGAAGGGGAGAAGGCTAGATTCCTGTTCTCCTTGGACCGTCTTCTTCCTGACATTTCATTCCAGTTTAAATCCTCTGCTCTTTCAGCCAGGATTGTGGGATTATAGTATAGATAAGATTTGGAACTGGGAGAGACCTCAGAAGTTTTGTCCAATCTCCTCATTTTACAGATGAGGAAACTGAGGCCCCGAGAGGTCAAATGTCTGAAGTACCATAAGCGGTAAAAAAAAAGCAGAGCTAGAATCGGAACCTAGGACTTCTGACTTCAAATCCAGTGTTCTATTCACTATATCATATATATCTAGTAGTTCAAGCAGCTAATTATTCCAGAACCTGCCTTGCCTCTCCTCAGCTTCAAGGTTTCTCTCTCTCAGGAGATCAATAGAAAACATGAGGCATATAGGGAAAATAGAGACACAGAACCAGAGACATGGTCATTGACAGAGTATTTTTTTCTCTTACTCACACTCTGCTGACCCAGGTCTTATGCAGGCTTCTTCTCAATGTCCTCCTGTTTCTTCATTGACTAGTAGACTACAATGCAAGGGTCTGGCCTACTTTAGGGAGTGGTATGAGGGGGAGGGGTGGTCTCTCTGATATCCCTGATGCTTTAAGGACCTACCCACAGGCCGCCTGATCTTCGACAACTTGAAGAAGTCCATTGCCTACACTCTGACCAGTAATATCCCAGAGATCACCCCTTTCCTGCTCTTTATCATTGCCAACATTCCCTTGCCTCTGGGCACTGTAACAATCCTTTGCATTGACCTGGGCACTGATATGGTAAGTCCAGAGATGTGGCTGGGGGAGAGCAGGATGTGAAGTGGGGGAGGGAGGGTGGAACCTAGGGCAACTAACTGTCCTAGCTGTAGCTCCCGTCTGGTAGAAGGAATACTTAGTCTGAGAATTTTACCTAGGAATTGCTTCATCAATCTTAAAATTCCACAGGAATTGTTAATATTATTGAGTCTACCAGACTGTGAGCTCAATAAGGGCAAGGACCCCGCTCATCTAAACTTCACATATCCTCCAGTGCCTAGCATAGTGTTTTGTATACAGTAGGTGCTTAATAAAAGTTGGTTGAATTGAATTCCTATCTCCTCCCCACCCCTCACCCCCTTTCTTCTCTGTTCAACGTCATCCATTCCCTACTCCAGGTACCAGCTATCTCCTTGGCCTATGAGGCAGCGGAAAGTGACATCATGAAACGCCAGCCTCGGAATCCACAGACGGACAAGCTGGTGAATGAGAGGCTCATCAGTATGGCCTATGGTCAAATTGGTGAGGTTCAAGGGGACTCCTTGCCTCAGAGTGGGATTAGAGTGTCATAGGATCGTAGATCTTTGGAAGGGACCTCAGAGGCTGTCCGGTCCAACCTCATTTTGCAGCTGAGGAAACTGAGACCATGAAGGTTAAGGGTCTTGGCCATGGTCACACAGGTAATGTCAGATGCAGGATTTGAACCCAGGTCTTCTGACTTCAGCACCAGTGCTCTTTGTAGTGTGCAGCTCTGGCTGTTTCCCAGCATTTGAGAAAGTTAAGCTCTCAGAATTAGCTCAAAACAGGACCCAGTTCTGTGCGGAACCTGCCCTTCTCCGTCCAGGGCGTGTCTTGTTTCCTTCTCTAACTGTGGCCCTCCCTGCTCACAGGGATGATCCAGGCACTGGGTGGCTTTTTTACCTACTTTGTGATCCTGGCAGAGAATGGCTTCTTGCCCTCCCGGCTCCTGGGCATCCGACTCGATTGGGATGATCGCTCCAAGAATGACCTGGAAGACAGCTATGGACAGGAGTGGGTGAGTGACAAAGCAGCAGCAGCTGTCAGGAAGTGAGAGATTTGAGGGACACTGGGTGGTTACTGGGGGTTTGCACAGGTATCCCCTTGACCTGGCTTTTTCCTTGGTCTCTCATCATTCTGATCCTAATTCTTGACTCCGTCCTCCTCTCTGTCTCCATTCTGCTGCCTAACTCCCTCTTCTGATGCCAACCTTCTTTTTGACTAAGCTTTCCTTCCTGACAGCCCTTCCCTCTTCCATTTGACCCTCCTTTCTGACTAATCCTTCCTTTCTGACTGAAGCATCTCCTATGCCTACACTCTCCCTGCTAACATTCTTCTTTCTGCTCCCTGACCTCTTCTCTGACTCCATCCATCTCTCTACCTGGACTCACCATTCCCTGTCCAGACCTTACCTTCTGTAATCCTACTCTCCCTTCTTTGACCGTACCTTCCCCTCTCACTCTAACCCCATCTGTGCCCTTTCTTCAGACCTATGAGCAGCGGAAGGTGGTGGAGTTCACGTGCCACACAGCTTTCTTTGCCAGCATCGTAGTTGTGCAATGGGCTGACCTCATCATCTGCAAGACCCGCCGTAATTCTGTCTTCCAGCAGGGCATGAAGTGAGCTCCCCACCACAAAGCCCATTTCAGCTCCCCAAGTCCTGGCATGATTTTACAACCCTGATTCACCCTGACCATGAGCTACCCCACCATCCTCTGTAGCTATTAGGATCAGATTTTAATTACTCAGCTCTATCCATGGTATTGCTTGGAGGTGGGGAGGAGAAGGAGGAGGAGGAGGAGAAATTTGGCAACTTTAATTCTGTTTCCTGATTCTGGGTGGGTACAAATCTCTGGAGAGTGCCACTCCTGTCCCTTCTTCCCACCCGTTCTGTTCATTTCTCTTCCCTTACTCTACTTAAAAACAACAACAACAATAACACATAGAATGTTAGCTCTGGAAAGGACCTTAGACATCATTTAGTACTGCCCCCTTCATGTTACAGATAAGGAAATCAAGTCTCAGAGAGAGAAAGTTGCTTGCCCAAGTGAAAAGTCAAAGCCTTTTCCAACTGGATCCTAGATAGCAGACTTGACTCATGTTACTTATATAACCCTTACGGTCAGGGAATAAGACATGGTCTCTGGCCCAGAGAGCTTCCAGACTATGGAACAAGACATGATTAGAGAGTAAAATAAGACAATATACAATAAAGTACTAAGCTGCTGGTGAAATTCAGGAAGATTAAAAGAAGGCAAAATGAAAATATTCTTCAGTTATAGGGGACAGATGAGAAGGGGGAAAGAATATGTCTCTTAGAAACATTCCACTTTCTCTGACAAATTCAATAAACATTTTAGTGGCTGCTATATCAAGACACTGTGCTAGGCTCTAAAGAAACAAGATTACAAAATTATATAGTCCTTGACCTTAAGGAATTAGGTAGAGGGAGGAGAAGAGGGGGAGGGATATAACATACCCAGGAACAAGGTCGGGTGTGATGGAAGTGTGAGATTCAGACAAAATGTGAGAAGGAAGAACTCATTTTCAGCTGGAGGGATCAGGAAAGATGTCATTGAGAAGGTGGCGCCTCAGCATAGCCGTGAAGGAAAAGAAAGATTCTGAAAGTGGGAGAGGAGGAAGAAAGTTCATACTCAACGTAGAGGGTAGCCTGCTGAATATGTGGGGAGATAGATGGCATCAAGTTTAGTGGACAGTTAGTGCTGGAATTTAGAGCTCATTAAGGAAAAGACCTAGTAAATGGAAAGAGACTGGAGAGAGAGGGAAAGAGACAGAAAGAGAGAGAGAGAAAGAGAGAGAGAGAGAGGAGAAGGAGGAGGAGGAAGAAGAAGGAGAGAAAGAGAGGAGGAAGGAGAAAGAGAAGGGAGGGGAGAGAGAGAAAGAAGGAGAGAGACATAGAGGAGAGAGACAGAGAAAGGGAGAGGAAAGAGGGAGAAAAAGAAAGAAAAGGAGAAAGGAGAGAGAAAAAGAGAGAGGAAAGGAGGGAGAGAAAAAAGAGAGGAGAAGAAAGAGAAAGAGAGAATAGATGTGTAGGCAATATGCCAGAGAAGATGGGATGGGATGAAATCAAGGGTACATGTAGGGGAGTTGGCTTTGTCGAAGAGAAGGGCCAGAGAGATTGGAGTAAAAGGTAAAAGAGTGGGCCATGGTGTCAAGAGGTTGTAGTATGTAGAGAAGGGGAGAAGAGGGAACTTACTGTGAAAAGCCTCCATTTTCTCAGTAAAGTGATTTCACAGTGAAAGGTAGGAAGGATCTAAGATGATATCTTGAGGAGATGGCAGGGTTAAGAGGTTTTGGGAGGCAATTGGGGTTAAGTGATTTGCCCCCAAAAAAAGTTAGAAGAGGCATATTTGTTTGTTTGTAGACGATGAGGAAGGAGTGAGTAGATAGGGAGGACCTGAAGATGAAAGTGAGAGAGCCAGAGAGAGCATGATTGCTGGGGAAGTTATATAGGCAGTAAGGGATGGGATCCTGGGTGCAAATGGTGAAGTTCACCTTTGAAAAAGAGAAGAGCCAAAAAAAAAAATTTAAAAAAAGAAAAAGAAAAAGAGAAGAGCCATCTCAACCCCTGAGGTTGGATCAGAGTAGACAAAGGTAGGTAAAGATGTAGCAAGGGATGTAGGAAGGGAGAAGAGAGACTTCTTAAGGAATGGCCTCAATCTTCTCAGTAAAATAAGAGGTGAGGTCATCTGCTGAAAGAGAGAGAGAGAGGGTGGAGTGATGATCCTGAGGAGAGGAGAAGGTGTTGAACAGCTGCTGTGGGGGGGGGGTGCTGGGGAATCAGTAAGAGATGAATTAAAACGATTGCTGTGAAGTCAGGCTGAAGAGGATGACTGTGAGTAAGCACTTAAAGTCACTGAGACCAGAAAGGAAGGTTCTCCTATAACTATCCGTTTCTTTGCTAGAAACAAGATCTTGATCTTTGGGCTGCTGGAAGAGACAGCTCTGGCCGCCTTTTTGTCCTATTGTCCAGGCATGGGCCTGGCCCTACGAATGTACCCACTCAAGTGAGTACCCAGGAGGAGGCGGGGTGAGACAGTCCTCTACGCAGAAGCAGAAGGAATGTGGGTGGTGTGTGTGTTTGGGGGGTGGGGTTGTTCCTGTAATCATAGCCTGGATTGCTCTGGGTGTCTCTCTTTGTCCATTTCTATGTCTTCACTCCATATTCTGATCCCACTCTCTTTCTCTCCCATTCTTTGCAGGGTCACATGGTGGTTCTGTGCTGTCCCCTATAGTCTCCTTATCTTCATCTATGATGAAGTCCGAAAACTCATCCTGCGGCGCTATCCTGGTGGTGAGTTTCCCCTAGCCTCAGCAACCCAGCTGGTCTCCCAATGCCCTAACTACATCCCAAAATCCAGATGCCTGCCACTGACTTTCAGTGTCCTCAGACCGTGGACTTCCAGAGAGTTTGGGGCACTGTTCTCTTTCTAGGCCTTACAGCCTGAAATCCTGGCCCCTAGAGGTCAACATTCTTCCCCTGAGTTGTATAATCGATGGAGGGCTAGACTTGAAGTCTACTCTTACTTCTGACACTTAGCTGTTCAACCCTGGTCAAATCATTTCACCTCTCATGGACTCAGGTTCCTTATCCTTGAAACAAGGGGGTTGTACTCAATGATTTCTAACGTCCCTTTGGACTCTGAATCTATCATCCTATGATCACCGTTGTTTCTAGACTTCTTATCTCTCCTTCAACTATAATTACAGCTTTTCAGCCCCTCCAATCTCTTCCTGATTTTCAATCAACCAACAAATGTTTACTGGGTACCTTAGATGTTCTCTACCCTGTGCTAGATACAAAGTTTTCCCATTCTTCCATTCTATTTATACCTAGTCCCTTCTCCTGCCCAGCCTTTAATGTCTGTGACCTCTTCCCTCCCACCTCCTTCTTTCCCCCCTTGTTATTTCCAGTCCTTTGCTTCCCCTACCTTCTAAGGTCCCTTCTATATAGTCATTGCTGTCCTGAGTCCCTCAGAAATCCATCGATTGTCTCCCTCACTCTGAACTTCTCTCTCCAACAGGCTGGGTGGAAAAGGAGACATACTACTGAGCTGAGCAGAGGATGAACCAGGCACCAAACAGATAGGGGTGCCCTGTTGTGGGGTGGGAAGGGGTGGGTACATCTGAGACAAAGTTGTGGGAGGGTTATGGGGAGGTGGGGGGTCAGCCCAGCCAACTGAAGTTTGGGCCAGGGTAGGGTAGGAATGGGGTTTAGGGTGATTGCCCTGTAGACCTAACTGTGAAAAATCAGTTTAGACACTAAATGTTGGGATCCCCTCCCCAGATCCTACCCCTACTGTGTTCATTACTTCTACTCTTCATGGAGGCTTGGAATCATTCCAGCCCTCCATAACTCCCAGTAGAGATCAGGTTGTAATGGCAGATATGAGTCTGAGGGTGTTCAGGCTTGAGAGAAGAGAAGACTGTTGAGGTCCTCAAGGACCTAGAACCACTATGTTATCTCAACACACTCCATTCTCTGTTACCACCTGTTCATTTTCTCTCCATCCAACTCTGTCCCCAGTGATCCCCACTTCCCTGTGCCAGACCTCAAAATCACCATCTACTTCTGCTAGTGAGAAACAGGAGTCTGTGAAACAGGAACCTGAGAATAAGTCTTCCCTGTAGGGACTCCACAAGTTGGGGACAGTGTGAAACAGATAGAAATGCTCTAATTCAGAGAGAGACAAGGCCAAATAGAGAACAAAAGAAAGGGAGGAACCAAAAAGGGGGACTCTAGGAGACAGTGTAGGAATAGGATTAGCCATTAATCGATTAAAGAAACAGACAAGGAGATAGACTGAAGAGGGATGAGGACAGTGGCTTTTGAAGCATTTTGACAATTTTATCAATAAGCCTTGTCCCAGATCTGTGTCCCTGTTGTAGAAGAAGGCAGGAACCCGATCAGCAGACATCCAGATTGTAATTTTTTAAAAAGTTGTAGCAGGTAATATTAGAAAATTCAAAAAACCAGCCACACCATGAGCCAGCCGTTTCCAATGAATATAAGGGGAACTCTGGCTTCTCCCTTTGTTCTTTGGGGTGGGATGCCGAGTCATCAAGATCCTCCTAATCATGTGGAAGAAAAATCCTACCAGGTCACTAGTCCTTGAGCCCCTTTGAAACTATTCATGCCCTGTCACAGTAAATGTGCCTAGCATTCCAGGTCAACATAGCCCTCAAGAAAGAAAGAGCCCAGATTTTCAGAATACAATTGTGGTCCCAAATATTTGACAATCCAAGGCAGGTTTAGTGTATCCCCTTGGTTCAGGGTATTTATACAAAGAGGGGTAAAACCACTGCTTTAAAAATGCTCTTTGGAAAAGAGCAAGACAATTTCTGACCAAATGCCCTTCACATAGTCTGAGCACTGATCAAACATTACACTGAAATGGAGGGATCACCCTCTGGTCCCTATGATAATTGAACTCCTTTCCGCTACTACTGCTAACCTAGCACTTTCACTCTTTGGGCATTTTCATCCTTTTTGTCCAGCTGTAGCTCAAGGAACAAAAGCTATGCCCTATAGAAAGATTCAGAAGCATTGAGCAAGTGAGAAAGAGAGGGAGACCAAAGGGAAAAGGGAGAGAAAGAGTGGCTACAAAGGGGTAAAAACTAATAGGTAAGGAAGAGAAACAGATGTAGAGCAAATCCCATAACAAAATCCCAATTGATTGTCCATATTCTTGAGTTGCACCAGATAATACTTAAAAACAAACAAACAAACAACAGCAGTTGGCTGGGGTTTGAAAATCTTGTTTGTGGAAAACCACTTTAATTTGAACTCTACTAGTTTGAAATTCATGAAAATTTGGACAAAAGTCTTTTCATTATCTATGGAAAAATAAAAAGGAATTTGCTAAGTCAAATTAAATAATGGCATAAATAGGATTATTGGGGGACATATTTAGTAGTCAAAGCAAATTATAGCCACTTAGGAGCATTTATTTACGATGAATTATTCTGAATTTGCTAATTACAAATGATTTTTATCTATTCATTAAAGAAGTACCAAGAGACTTGGGGAACCTTTGTTAGCCTTTAGTTTGAGTCACTGTATGTACTTTAAAAGTAATAAATGCATTTCCTTTTTAAAAAAATACTCTTCAGATATCTCACTAATTCAAACTCATCTTTCCCCAAAAGAAGTCATTTTAGCCTATTTGTTGTTATTATAGCTGTATTTGACTTGTAGAGGGATGGAGCTAAAGGAAAAGATTCCTTCATTCAACAGACATTTAGAAATTTCCTACTCTGGTGCAAGACATTGTGCTTAGAGCTAGAGAGATACAAAGTCTAGATAAGACACTATCCCTGCCTTCATAGAGCTTCCAGCTAGCTGTGGGATAAGGCACAAACATGAAGAACTAGAAGATACAGTATTACATGACAGTGCATTATTTCTGTTCACTCATTTTTCAGTCATGTCCAACTCTTTGTGACCCCATTTGGGGTCTTCTTGGCAAAGACACTGGAACGGTTTACCATTTCCTTCCCCAGCTCATTTTACAGATGAGAAAACTGAAGCAAAAAGGATTAAATCACTTGCCCAGGGTCACACAACTAAGAAACATCTAAAGCTGGATTTGAACTTAAGAAGATGGATCTTCCTGACTCCAGGCTCAGCACGCTATCCACTGCACCACTTAGCTGCCCCCCTGTAATTTATTAGAGAATTATAAAACAAGGTGGTTTGTGAGATTCTTAGCTGGAATGGTCAAGGGAAGGTAACATTTGAACTGTGTTTTAAAGGCTGGTGAAGAAGAAGAAGGATAAGGGGAAGCTAGGTAGCGTAGTGGATAGAGCACCAGCCCTGAAGTCAGGAGGACCTGAGTTCAAATCAGACCAAACACTTGACACTTACTAGCTGTGTTACCCTGGGCAAGTCACTTAACCCCAATTGCCTAAAAAATAAATAAATAAATAAAAATAAATAAATAAATAAATGAATGAATGAATATAATGAATGAATGAATGAATAAATAAATAATAAATAAATAAATAAGAGGAAGGATATTGGAGGCATAAGGAAAAATGTGAGAAAGGTACAAAAGTGTGAGTATGTGTACATGTGTTGGGGCAGAGGTCCATACAGAGAATAGACTGGTTTGGCTGGACCATAAAATATGTGGAGGGGAATAATATGAAATAAAGTAGGAAAGGTAGGATGGATGATGAAGGGAGGGAAAGAAAGAGTGATAGGGAGAGAGGCAAGGTGTGGTGGATATATGGAAGCACGGAAGACTGAGCACTGGTCTTGGACTCAGAAGACCTGGGTTTCAGTCCTGGTTCTGCTGTGTACCAGCAATTTGACGGCAACTCCTCTGAATGCTAATTTCCTTATCTGTAAAATGGATATAAAGATATTTACATTACCTACCTCAGAAGGCCTATTGTGAGGAAAGTGAAAAGAGTCAGGAGAGAGCTAGCTTCAAATCCTACCTTGGACCCTTATTCACTGTATGACTGTAAGCAACAATAGCCTGTTTGAGCCTCAGTTTCTTCAGTTATAAAATGGACACAATAATAACACTTATCCCATAAGTGTTATGAGGAAGAAATGAAATAATGTATGTAAAACACTGTGTAAATCTCAAAATGCTACTTAAATGTCTTCTACTACTACTACTACTTCTACTACTACTTACTACCACTACACAAACATAAGTTATTATAGAGAAAAAGCCATTAGTTAAGAATTACCTCCAGGAGCATACAGCAGCAGCAGTTTCCTTCCTCAATACTGATAATCCCAACCCTGGACCCCCACCTCAAAGAGAACTGAGTGTCAGGGCTCATCATGCATCTTTTCTGAGTCACTCTGGGCTAGGCCTAGAAGTTCAATTGGGAACAGAATCCCACAGGACTGCCTTGCTTTATATTGTTCTATAACAGGATGTGAACAGTCTCAAGGTTAGCAAGATTCAAAGGGCTGAGGGGGAGGACCAGTTCAATCAGCAATATTGATTTGCTACTCACACTGTGCTATAAATATTGGAGGGAAGATGACAATAACAATAATGATGATGTTTCTATTATGGCAATAGCTCCCATCTATGGAGATCTTTAAGGTCCATAAAATGGTTGTCCATCAACCTGTGATGCAAATAGTGCAGGTGTTATCACCTCGATTTCACATGAGACAGATGTGATTCATAGGAGTTAGAGGTAGAAGGGATATTCAAGATTATCTGGTTCAACTTCCTCATTTGACAGATCTGAAGAAACGAGGTTCAGAGATTAAGTGAATAGCCCAAGGTCATCCAATAACAAGTAGCAGAGTCTAGGTTTGAGCTCAAGTCATTTGATTCCAAATTTAGTACTCCTTCCACCATGTAGGGAAGCAATATGGAACAAGGATTACTGTCCTCAGCTTGGAATAATGGAACTGAGTTCAAATTCTGGTGCTGCTGTTTACCAGCTATGTCATGTTAGGCAAACTACTTTCCTCTCTGGGCCTCAGTTTCCTCATCTGTAAAATGAGAGGGTTAGACTAGATGGCCTCTGAGATCCCTTCCAGTGCTAAAACTATGATTTAGATCTCTTTTTTGATTCTGTATCACATCCCAGTGACTTCCTCAAGGTCACAGAACTAGTGTCAGAGCTGGGACTTGGACCCAGGTTCCTAAATCTCCTGCTTCAGATCCAGTAATTTTTTCCAGTGTGCTAACTCTATGGTCCCCACTTCAGTGTTGGACCTTAGAAAAGAGATAAGACATTTGTCAATAAAGGTCAGGACAAATTGAAGAAGAGCCCTAGATTCAAATCCCTAGAAGGTAGAGTAGAGGCAGAATTCGGGGAGGGCAAGTTGGGGAAAAATCTGTGGTCTGGTGTGGGGAAGTATGACCCCAAAAATATTGGGGAGGGGGGGTCAGAAGAGACAGTGAATAGTAATCATCTCCACAGAATCATGGATTTAAAGCTGGAAAGTACCTCTGAGGCTGCCTAGTCTTAACTCTTCTTTTTATAAATGAGGAAACTAAGATCCAGGAAAGTTTAGTGACTTTCCCAAAGTTATTCAAGTAATGAACAGTAGTGCCTGAAATTGAACTCAGGTTCTCTGACTCCAAATCCAGCATTCTTTCCATTGCACCCCACTATGTCCCACCTTTACCACTCTCCCTAAAGGCCTTAGGATGGTAGAGGGGAAGTTGCTTACCCTTACCACTCTATCCCAGGGTCTTTTAAGAAGCTAGGACATAATAGAAATTCGTGGTTTCATACGTAATCATCTTTTTACATTCTGCTTTGTATGTGAGAACATGGGGGGAGGAGTGTTTGTTAAATACAGAATTAAGAAAACAAACAAATAAAAAATAACCTAGGGCTCATAGAGTTCAAGGACCACAAACTTTTTAAAGGTGGGAGTAGGGGACAGTGTTACCAGGGCCTAGGACATACACAGCCCTTACAGATTTGCTCAGCTGATGCTACTGCCCTACTTTTGGGGTCTATTTCTCCCCTAAGACCAATGTGGTATGAGGCAGAGGAATGTATGCTCCTTAGGTACTGGGGAAAATATTTGTATATTTGTTCTTGCTATGATTTTGAAGTAAATATCCATTTGTAAAAGCTTGAAAAAAAAAAAGGAAGATCTGGGGCAAAATGGTTAGAGACTGTAATGATTCTCCACTTTTTGCTCATTCTAAATTGAAATGGCAAATAAAGCCAAACCAAAATAATATGTTTGAATCAAGGGAAACCAGTTCAACATAGGAACCTTATGGCTAAGTGGATAGAGACTGCCATGTCATGAGGTACATATTGCTAGAGACTACTTGAGCAGAGGGTACTGGAGATGAGGAACAGAAGAGCCTCAGATAACTGCGTTGGGAGACAAGAGGAGGTTCTTAAAGATCAGACTGGAGGCCTGAGAAAAGGAAAAATGATTGGACAATCTGAGGAAAGAGGTAAGGGAGAAAAAGATTATAGATCGAGGCCCACTTGCCCAAAGCGTGGGCATAGAGCTGCTGTGATGATATCAAGAAGCAAGGTAGTGACCCTTGCAATATGTGTCATCATAGGATCATAAGATCCAGAGCTGAGAGGGATTTCGGGGGTCATCTAGTCTAATATCTAAACAAGAACCTGCTATGAATATCCTTAACAAGTGGTCATTTAGCTTTACCTTGAAGATCTCTAAAGATGAGAAATTTACTACCTACTGGGGTACCTCATGGCACTTTGAGCTACTATCCTGGTCACCCACCTCTGAATAGCCTCCAGTTGGTTAATATTCTTCCTAAATGTGGCATGTGGAAAAGAGATCTCCAAACTCCAAATGTGATCTAACTAGGGAAGAAGATGGAAGAGGAGAAGGAAAAGGAAAAGAAGAAACTGTTCTTTACATCCATGGGACTTTATATACATAGGATTTTCTGGCACACTTGTTTTGCTCCTTAGTAAATATATTGGGGGTTTGCATTTATAGATTTTTTTAAAAATTTTGATACAGGTTATGAATACTTTGTATGCAGCACATGAACACATAATTGGTCTTTATTTGAAGGTGTAACTGGTGTTCTAATCTTTTGACACTAGATTTGTCGTAAAAAGCAACTTATTGATTCAGTAACTATTGAACAAGCTGCCCCAAATCACCATAACACAGCAACTGCCTTTGTTGATTATCACAGGGACCTTGCCAGTTCCTTATTCATGGTTTATTTACGTCTTGCAGATATGTAAAATACACCCAAGTATAGTGAGAATGCTAGAGTATTTGATGTCTGCATAGAATACTATTATCTATTTAAAGTGTGCTATCAACACAATAAGAATTGCAAGAATAATTCATATCCAATGTGCCATTTTTAGGGAAACAGATACATCTATTATGGTTTTGCCTAGCATTAATCCTGTTGTCATCTCTTCTCAATAGAGTTAAGTATGGTTTCCAAATTAAATGAGATGAACCCAAAACCTTAATAAGCACTTAATATATGTGGATAACATCAAACTATGTGACTCCACTGGAAAACAAATTAAACAGCTCTTACATTTTGTGGAATCTTTTTCCAATAATGTCACATCATTTGGACTTGATAAGTATAAAATTCTTAATGTGTGCCAAAGAAAGAGAGAGACAGAAGGCTTTAAGCT